ATGTCCCAGGAATTCGCAATCTGGCACCAAGTCTTCCAGCGTGCTAATCTGGGGTCTCGGCTGGAGGGTGCGTATGTCTCGTCTTCTAGGAGTTGTAGGGCCTGCTCGCGTGAGGTAGGCGCTCCCGCCGCAATGGCTCTGTTGAGAGAGCCGTGTCGTGTGGTGTGATATGGTTGGATGTCGCGCCGGACCGGGGGCATGTAGTCAAGGACCAGTTGGTCGTCGCCCAGGAGTCGATTGATCAGGTCGTGTGGCACGCCGATCCGCACCAATGCAGCCCGGTCCATGTTGCGGAATGTCGCCAAGTCGTCTATTCCGGCTAGGGCAACGAGCGGGGCGATCGCCAGCAAGGACCGCTGGTGTAGCCATGCTCGAATGTCACGGAACGTCATCTCGGGGTGATCTGTATCAAGGGCCGAGAGGGGCCAAAAATGGCTATGTAAATGTATCAAAGGTTTGCCACACGTGGAGACAAAAGCACAATGCAAACAATCAAGGTGAGCGAAAGTTCGGGGGGATTTAGGGGTGTTTGGCTTCAAACACATGGTGCGCCTTTTGCTCTTTGCACGGGTGTCCTGACGTACTGCCAAACGAGGTTGCACTTCGGCGGCAGGTTCAGGAAGATGGGTCGTGCGAAGGCAACCGCGTTGGTCGGACCCTCCGGGCTCGCGCGGGACACGGACGCCCTTCGGGTCGTAGTGGTTGCGGTGCTGGTCGAGGTCCGTCACAGGGCGCTCAAGTGGTTGAGACGGTCCGCCCCCTCGAGGTCTTGGCAGGTCCAGAGCTTGAGGCGGCAAAAGCACAGCCCCATCACTCTGGCGAGGTCCGAGGACTCAAGGATGCGGGTGGAACTGGGGTCGTAGCGATAGCGCCGCATGTCGTAGAAGGGCGTGGCGGGTTGGTGGCGTTGTCGCTTCTGGCTGGGGAGCAGGTCGACTCGGAGTGGCTTGATGCGTCCCAGGTTGCGCTGGGCGACTTGCTCCAGCTTCTCTTGGGTCCAGAAGGTCCTGTGCATGTATGGCAGTTTCTGAGCCGTCTGCATGTTGTTCATGATCATGTCGGCCAGATAGGCGCGGGGGTCCTTGGCTTGTCGCAGGTCGGATGCGATCTCGTTGATGTGGACCTTCATCTGTTGGATGAGCTTGCCGGTCGTGTCCTCCTCCCAGCGAAGAAGGTAGAGCATGTAGCGCCGGTCGTCGTCGCCGGTGATGGCCTCTGCCAATTGGTCCGTCTCGTGTGCTCCAGCGGTGGCGCGTACCACGAGGCACTTCTGGGCCGGCACGAAGCGTTCTGTGTCGTCTTGGCCGGCTGCGGTCAGGGCCTCCCCTCGGGATGCGGCTTTGGCGTCACTGTAGGTTTTCCAGGGGTGGTATTGCTGGAGGCACTCGGGACAGAAGAACTGGCCGTGCTCGGTGATGTTGGCGGTGGCGCGCAGCCAATGTGACGAATGTACCACCGCTTTGCACGACTGACGTCGGCAGATAAAGTGCTCGTCGGTGGACGGGAGGACGCGGGTGATGAAATCGGTGAGGTGTGTGGGATAGTCGTCGGAGTCCAAGAACTCAAGGAGGGTCCCTGTGCTGTTTGCGCGCAATGCCTCGGTGAGGTGCTGCTTCTCCCATTTGTGGAACATGAGGAATAGGTCTCGTCGGTCCTCGGGTGCCAGGTTGATGAGGTCGAGGCACATGGTTTCGGCGAGGAACTTGGAGTGGTCGCTGATGAGGCGGCGAAGGTGGTTGTTGGAGGTTCCGGGGTGGATCTCGCGCAAGGAGTCCATCATGTCCGTGTGGGTGTTCGTGCGGATGGTGCCGACGGCCTTGTTGGTCATGTAGTCCAAGCGGCGTCGCCATGCTCGTCGGCACAGCTTGCTGAACACCTCGAGGGTGAATGGCCGGCGGTTCTTCACGTCGAGGGCTGGTACCCTGATCCAGCGGCGGTTCCTAATCCCACCTGTGCACGGTGATGTAGGCGTCGTGAGCGTCGTCCGTCTCTGGCACCGCAATCTGTAAGGTCGGTGGGGCGATGGTATGGTCGCTGATCATGGCCGCGAGGTCGGGGTGCTCTGCGATGGTGTTGTACGGTGCGTGTTCTGCAATCAGGGAGTTCGGGTCGGCCAGGAGCTCCTCGAACTGGAACCACGGCACGCTACTGGTGTCGCAGGTAGCGCACCCGTAGCACGCCCCGACCCACTTGTTTCGCCAGTCGGTTTCCTCTGAGAAGCAGAGGGGCATGATGTACTGGGATTGGTATGGGATCTGGCAGAACGAGCACTGCAGTGTGGCTGGTGTTGGATTCAGGTTGTGCCAGTCCAGCAGCAGGTAGCGTGTCCGTGTGTCCGGCTCGGTGTTGGTCGACTCCATGAAGAGGTCGATCGCGTCCGTGGTGGAGAGGCGGGGATTCTCGGTGCGGAAGGTCTGGAACCTCGAGAGGACGCCGGTGTTGTAGGACCGCAGGAGGAGCTCGCAGACTGCGTCGGTCTCGCGAAGTGCCATGTTGTGCGAAGGGGGTGCGATATCGGATACACAAAAGCCAGCCTGAAAATTCCTTCGGAATTGGAGGTGGCGCTTGCCGAACTCACGCAGGAGTCGGTAGTGTGCCGGGTGTGAGTCAAAGGGGGGGGGGTTGGTCGGGCCAGGGGGGTGTGTCTAGGTGACTCGGGTCCAAGGATGGCCCGTTGATGGGGGGGATCTGTACGACGCGCCACACCGGCACAAACGTCGTGTTAGATGACACGCCACACCGGCACAAATGTCATCCCGAGGGGTGGAGCTGTCCCGTAGGACCAACTCCCTGCGGTGTGAAGGTGACCGGGGTCGGCCAGTTTGTCATCAGGGATCCGACCCGAAGAAACCGAGGGTAATCCACAGGGGATCCGAAGTGGGGTGAAAGACCGGTCGGGTTCGGGGCAGGCGAGTGGGGATTGGTCACCGCAGTATGGGCCTCAGCAGTGGGTCGGTTTGTCAAGGGGTATCCTCTCGAATCAAACAGGGGGGACGAAGAGGGTCGACCCGGGCTCGAGGCTCTCAGCGCTTTTGCGCGGTCCGAAGATGGATCTCTCTTCGGGAAAAGGGGGCCTCAGGCGGTCGCCTAGGCATGGGTGTCACCTGTGCGGTATGAGGGTCATCGCCCTATTGCTGGCCCACCATCGCACGGGACATGGACTTGGTGGGTCAACTTAGGGTGGCGGGTTTGGAGACTCCTCGGTGCCGCCTGGTCAGTAGCGGGAGTCCTGGCTCTGCTCAGTCTTAGAGCTCCCGGTTGAAGCGCAGGTGTCCGTCGGGGCCGAGCAGGATGCCCTCGATGGTCGCCATGGTGCGTTGTTCGGGGGTCAGGAAATTGGAAATTGTCTCAATGATGGTCTCCCCGAAGGTGATTGCCATGTTGTCCACAAAAGGGTCTCGCCGGGAGGCGCGACAGAGCTGCCTCCCGAAGGTAAGCCAGGAACAGGTCAGTTGTTGTAGCATGTGCTGCCGGTTGGCGCTGTTGAGCAGCTGGAGTTGTTGGTGAACGTGTTGCTGGATAATCCAGCGCAGCAGGCTCCTGAGAGGTGTGACCTGCGTAGTTGGTTCCACGGGTACAAGAAAAAGGCCCCCGAAGTCATTGCCGTACACATTGGTGGGGGTGCGCGAGAAGATGCCGTAGTTGGTCAGGTGCCATTGCAAGCCGATGTGGTCGAGGACGGAGGGGAATTCCGGTAGCAGTTCCGGATTGATCAGGAAGGTGGCATCTTCGTGTACCCGCGCGCGGATGTGTCCGGCCCGCTGGGTTGACAGCAGGCCTTGTGTGCTGTCGTCACGGTCGATGCCTGGCGGCTGGAGCCACTGGACTAAGTCGTGATGTTGGTTGGATGGTGTGGGGGGTGCCGCCTTGGATGGTGTGGTGGGTTGCGGGCGTGGTGAAGGCATGTGGTGCGGGACGGGCCCGGTCGATGTGGTGGTCGCCTCCGGGAATCGGGCCTGTCTGGGAGTGTCGCGAGCCGTGGGTGTCGCGAAGTTGACGGTCCGCGGTGGTGTCATAGCTCGGGAGTATCCCGGTTGTGTGGAGCGGCCTCGCTGCTGTCGGGGGGTGTTGTTCCGTTGGCGAGACGGGTTCAATGTGCTTGGCGGGCCACGTGGTACCGCGTATGGCATCTGGTAGGTGCACGGATCGGGGTACCGAACGTTCATGTGGTGAATGGGCGTGTTCCACTCGCCGTGAAGGTGGTCGCGGAGGATTTCAAAGGCCTCCCGCCTGGACACGAAGCGCCATTCACGGTGGGCTGTGTCATAGTGGATGCCCACGCCGGTGTTGGGTCTGGCATGGTGCACGAAGCGCAGCCAGGCAAGAAGGTCACCATGTAGGACTGAGTCGCTGTGAACGTGGCGGCATTCGGCACCACTGTCGCAAAAGCCTTCTGGATGCCGGGCCTGTTGTCGAAGATGTCGGTAACAGATGTTGTCTCGCGGCATCCAACGCGCATCAACGAACTCCGGATGCAAAAAGGCGCACTGGTGGGCCGAGGCAGGTGCACGTCCCCTGCAGCCGGAATGGTTGATGAACTGGTTGCAGACCTGATTGCCCTGCAAGATGTTGCCCGGACCGACCGCCTCGGGCAGGATCGAAAGATGGTCTTGAAGGGCCCGGTACAGTCGTTCATAATCCGGGTCGAGCTCGGTCATTTCCATGAGCTGGTACTCCTCCACGATGGATGCGAAATTCGCTGGAGCAGTCATGGCGGTCGAGCAGGCAGGGCAGGTAGGTCGGAAAGAAAAATTGGCTTGAGCCAAAATGGCGAACGGAGCATGAATCAAGCAGTGTCATCCTGCAGGCACTCAAGGTTCGAATCTGAGTGTGATTCAAATGCCTTCCGCTATCGGTTGTTACTTTTAACACAAGTGTTAACCGCAACAAAAGTAAATATCTTCTTAGGCAAATGGAAGACTAGCTGGCTTTCTACATGTTCAATCCCCCCAGCCCTGACCCTTCCTCACTGGATTTCCCCCTGACTCTTAGCCCCAAGCCAGCCGTCCAGACACGGCGGACCACGCGCTCACCTCTCCGTTGTCGCAGCCTTAGCTCCAAGTCTCCTAGGCAATTTCGTGGAATCGCCTCGCCTCGGAAGCCCATAGGTGGCCTCTACCCTCAGTTCCATCGGAGCCTGGGAGGGGTGGCGTAGGTGGTCTTTTAGGTGTCCCCCGGTAAATGGAAGAAACCAGATCTAGACCAGTGGAACCCATCTATTTTGAACCAAACTAACCTAAAAAGGACACCTGTGCTACCATGCCCTGCTTACACTCAGACTAGGGGGAACCCACACAGAAAGGGGCGACCGAGTCGGTACGTCAGGCAAGTGGTTAGTAAGCCTGGTGAGATAACCCACAGAAGCCATGGTTCTAAGTCTCCGTTCAGTGAGTCACAACCAGGCTTACTAACCACTTACTAAGTATCCTGCCCCTTTAAGCAGGGACTGACACTACGATCGCAATCTAAACCAGGCCCGCCTTCTTCCGCCGATTTGTGAGAAAGGAATTCCTCGTTCGACTGATATAGAACAAAGGCGTATGAGGAAGCGGAAGGTTCGCATGCCCCAAACAAATTCAGGAGCAGGGCGGATCCAGAATGAATCCAATCCACCCTCGCTTCCACTGACACACCAGTTGAGCCACAATCAAAGTCTGGTATTAACATTGTCTACCCCAATCCATTCTGGCTGGGACTGCCCCTTACTAACCTTCATCTACCCGGGTCTTGAGCAAGTGGCTCAGTTGGGATTCGCAAAGCCTTTCTGGGATAACCGCTTGGTCCAGAAGTTTGTCCATCCACCGCATCTCGCGTGGCAAGTGGATAGCCGTGGTGGCACGTCCCAATAGGAGCCCAAGAGAATGAACTTTCTGGCTGTGACCATTTTCTGCTCCAGGTGACAAAAGGATCCAGTGTTCAACCTGATTATCTAACACAACAACATATACATAGCAGACTCATCTTTCCAAGAGTAGATGAAATTTCTAGAGGATTTTGTGGTTGAAAATTCCCCTTTAACCAAACCTGAAACCACAACGAAGCGCTTGGGGGCGCCTTTGTTTGACCCATTTTGCAGTCGTTTTGCGGGGCAGGCAGTTGGCCCTTTGCTGAGATATCGGAGTACTCCTCCGGAACCCCAAGCCCACTGGGTCAGCGACCGGTGGCAATGGCCTCACGCAGGTTTGGCCAACCCGTGTGGCGGCCTCAAAAAAGGTCCTTGCAAGCGTCGTCGTTGTTTGAGGGTCCCCTACAAATTGCCGGAAGGAACCCACAAAAAGGGGGTCCACCTCTAAAAAGGAGCTTCCGCTCCTGCAAACAAAAAAAGGCGGGTGTTGGGATGTGTCACGTTAATCTGTAGGCATACAGCCTGGCGGGATGTGAAAATGTCCGCTGCTCCTATAAGCATCACCAAAAGAACAACTTGATTAAAGCTCCAAATGGTGATGCGTGAACCACCCCAAAGGAGAGAAGGACACGCGTTTTGACCGGGGCTTTTGGTGGTCCGGGAGTTGACCCCGAGCCGCCCTTGCAACTGGTGCTGCTAAATTTTGCGATGATCCCTAGACGCGTATATTGGCCAAAATTAGAATAGGGGTGTAGGCTACAATGGAACCAACTTGCTGAGTCATGATTATAAGAGCATAATGTGTGAAACTGTTTAATTAGCCCCCTTGTGAGGGGTCTGCCACAAAGTTGGGGAATCAGCTCAAGGACAACCAACCGGGAGCAAAACGGAGTGATGATGGCGCGAGTATGGAAGCTCTTGCGGGCAGAAAACCATGTGCTTGCAAAGTCTGCAGCGCGAAACTTGCGGACTCTACTCCGACGGCTGGGCCAAGAAAGGTGAGCCGACCACACGGAGGGTCCCCCCCGTTTCAGGCAGCTGCAGCCGCAGGGCAAGGAAAAAGGACAAAACCACGTCTGAGGAAGGCAAGCCGGTCTTCTATGGACCAAAACGCAGGTTGCATCAAGAATTGCCAGATCCACAGCTAGGAGCAGAGGCACTAAGTCCCTCCAATTCCACGCAGTGGTTTCCATGGAATCGCCTAGGGGAGGGCATCTCTAAAGCTCTTAGCTCACTTCCTGAGTGGATTGGCCAAAAAGAGCTTGGACTTGCTGTTTACCACTAAACTGGTCTGTCCCCATCCAAAAGACATAAATAACCAAATAAATAAATAAATAAATAAATAAATAAATAAATAAATAAGTAAACTAATAATATAATACATAATTAAATAAATACCTAATTGAATAAATAAGTCCAGGCAGGCCCAGCTCATGTTGAGGAACACCCATGCAATGGTGGTTGTGAGCTTGAGCGTGCTGACACTCGGAAGGTCTCATGACGGGAGCTCGACCCTGTGAAGTTTGAGGGTACCCTTTGGGTTGTTTTTAAGGGACACCAAAGGGCAACACCCATAGAAGGTGCAAACATCGATAATCACACACACACACACACACACATAGAGAGAGAGAGAGACCCAGAAAACTTTGCCTTGCCCTAGACAAAAAACCTTCGATGCAGCGAGCGCTGAGATCATCAGGAATTGGCGATTGGGCGATTGCCTCGTGAGTTGCCATCTGATATGAGTATGGTGTTGTTGCTTTTTCCCGAGTCTTGATCAAAACCTGGCGTAGCAGTCTGCATACAACCCATGCAGGGGTGGCTTAAACGGCAACCAACAGGACAATGTTCATTGTTGGGGTCCCCCTATGTTGAAGCCCCGTTTGTCCACAACTGTTGGGCTCACCCTTTGGCTTAAAGCCCTTTTCTCCACCTACCCACGGCTTCATCTAAACGACTCGCGCCTTGCCATGGTGCGAGAAGGCGATCGCTGTGACCGTGCCAGTATGGCCCTCGGTCAAGGGCAAATGAGTACATCCTCTTTTGCAGGGATCCGAAACCATGTCTGGCCGTTTTTGCCAAAAGGGGACCCCCTTTTACTTGCTGGTGCTCAGCAGGGAATGAGGAAATGAACCTTGGGGATTCCCTCAAAGGAAACCATAGGGGAGGGTTTGTGGTGGTCATTCCCTCCTTCTCTGCTGAGCACAAGCAAGTTTATGGACCCTCCCCCCCCCCGACCCCCTTTTTCGGGGACGAAAAGGAAGCTGACCACAAATTGAGCCCCGACTTTGAGGCCAGAATCCCGAGTGGCAAAACTGGGGGCGTCCTTCTGACCAAAGCAAACTCAGGGTTGCTCCAATGGCATAGGCAGGGAAACTATGGGAGCCGGAAAACCAACCTGAACCTGATCTGCAATGCCTTTCGATTGCCGAAAAGCTCGGAGCAACCCCCGCAACCCCCTGTCAACACCCTCGAAGCCCGGATTAACCCACCTTGTGCTACCAGAGACAAAGGCATGCCTTTAAAGGGCCCGACTTTTTGTTGGACAACCATCCAATTGACCCTTGGAAAATCCAAAGGCCATGTTCTGAGTGTCAAACCCCCCCCTTTCCAGGGCCCCTCGGCGAAGCCCCCCAGGAAGGCTAAGGGCCTTATAGCATGTGGATTCACCAACTCCACTTCGCACCAGGGCTGGATGAAACCCTGGTTGCAAGTTTTCCCCGCAATCTTTGGGTTGGTCCATAAAGCGGCCCGCCCGCTCTTTCATTAAATCCGTCGTTTAAACAGCTGCTGTTTGCAGCCCTCAAAAAAACACACCATATTAACGTAGAACCCTTACAAGGCCTTCAAAATAGAGGACTTGCCGTTTTGATGAACTTAGGAAAAAGCTAAAGGCCATGGTCCAAAATCGCTGGACCTTGCGTTGCGGGCTGCCCGGAGTTGGTCTTGGTTCTGGCGGCGCAGCCCTGACCAAGTTGTTTGAGAGAGGACATGGTGTGTCTCTCCTTGCACCCCCGAAAGCTCTGGAAATCAAGAAAATGGCCCCTCCAGGAGCGAGGAGCTTTGGATTTTTTGCAGCTTCGCTTCTGGCCTCGATTCTACTCCTTTTGGAAATTGGCTCTGCCTTGGTTCTATTGGCTTCATGGGCGTTGCTTCCATTGACCGTTGAATTTCGCTTCCAAGCCCAAAGCGGCTTCCCAGGATTTGTCCCAACAGGTTTCCTCCACCGACTTCCAGGTTGGAAAAAAAGCATCTGGAAGCGGCCAGGGTTTCGCCGGCCCTCTGTGTCAAACTCTTCTTTAACCAGGTCCTCCAGTAGAGAGGTTAGAATAAGGGTACCCTTTTTTCTGTAGTCTATTTTAGTAGGGGAACCCTCCCTGGGGAACCTAGTTAAGCAACAAAAACGGTTCCCAACTTCCCACCGGGCCGGGATTTGGGCCCCCGGCCGACAAGGTCAACTCCCCTGACCTCTCCAGCACCTCGCAAAAATCGCTTTGCCCGGGGGGGGTGGGAGGCCGTGAGAAAACCGCCGCGGCGCCAGTTGGAACGGTTACCGCTCAAAAAAGGGTTGGCTTGGACAATGTCCAGTTCTTCCCTATTCTGTTCAGGGATGTCCAGAAAATGACCAAACAACTCGAGAATTGGAGTTGCTAGAATTGCGACATCAAACCAGATGTTCAAAGGGACCCCCCAGTGCAAATTCATCCCGTTCCGTTCAAAACAGCAGCTAACACAACAACCGTGCTCTCAAGAGATTCGGTTGGAGAGGTGGCTAAGGACAAGCCACGATGAATCACAACGCGGAGGCAAACAGGCTTCCTGATAGCACAAGACCCAAAAGACAAGCTCTACAAACCCTTGGTGGCTGTGGGCCAAAAATAGGTACCCCAAAATGGAACCTTGGTAAAGGCAAACATGGACTACAATCTGCGGTCCTCTGGTGATTTTATATTGACCCACACCCTGGTGAGGTCACTGCTATTTGCACAGCCTCGTGCGATTTACAAATGCAACTGGTCTATGTGCCCGGAAGCGTGACGGCCTCAGTCAGGGTTGCGCCCCCAAATCAATCCGTGGCTCTCAATGACCAGTTCTTCAAGGCGGCACATGGGTGTGGGTCAAAAATAGGGTAACCCCAAAATGGCTTGCCCTGGTAAATGGAAACCATGACTACGACCTGCGGTCCAATTCCTGGTAGCTTTATTTTGACCCACATGGCAACATGAAGATGGGCGACAACATCTGGGCGAATTCAACATCCATGTTCACTGTGCAGGGATCCTTACATTGTACACGTGAACATTGCCTTGTAAATTTCATTGTAATTGGTGGTTTCAACATTTATGTTGGTGTTGAAAAAGCCACGTGTAACTCAACTGGTTGCAGCATTTGTATCTGTTAAGGAGCCCTGCTGTGTGAGACCCAAATGGAACCATCTGACGTCTCTGATGCTCAACGAACTGCATCATGAAACTAGGCGTCTTGTGATGAGAAAAGTTGGCACCAACCAACCAACCGACCGACCGACCGACCGACCAACCAACCAACCAACCAAAACCACAAACACACAACAAAAAACAGAACAAAACAGATACAAAACAACGAAGCAAACAAACATCAAGCCATCACATCACAACAACCCACCAGCCCGCAGGTTTTTCGAGGCCTTCCAGAGTTTCACCGTGCAGTCCTCCGCGAGACATGTTGGCTTCAGGGATATGTGTGTTTTGGCAGCTACCTTCCCACCAGGGAATAAGAACTGGAATACCCCCAACCAAACTGCCCTTGCTTGGTTGACGTTGGAAGGGGAGCAACAATCTATTATTTTGCAGTTAAGTGGGGATGTCCCACTAAACCACAATAAGCGAAAATGTAAAATGTTTCCCAACAACCATCCCTTGTGTCTTCCTTTAGCTAAGGGCACAGGGAATGAGAAGAAAGGAATTCCCCCAGGTATCTTCCCGTCCATGTGAGCCGGGGATGTTTTTGCTGAGGTGTTTTTGCTGAAACCTCACAAGGGTCGTGATCATAGTGTTCCACCCCCTTTTGTGAGGTTCCACGTTTGTGGAACCTCACAAGAAAGTCGGTGGAAGACTATGATCCTTTAACATTGAACCCCTGGTGTGTTTCACAATGAGTTTCTTCTTGGGGGTTGTTCCGCAGGAAAAAATGAGGGAAATGCCCAGAAAGGGTTTTTGTTGAGACACACCTTGGTGACAAACCTCCTAGTCCGGTGGCAGCCAAGGTGAATGCGAGCTGCGCAAGGCTCGAATTCTGTCGAGGTCGGGGCAACCTTTCAGTAAACCCACTATGAGTCCACAAGGATTGATTCCCTGTATGTGTGTGTGTGTGTGTGTCGAAACGGGGGGAGCCCAACACTAAGGTTGAAAAACTTTGCGGCGCCCCCCCCTCCCCAAACCAAAACAAAAGCAACAGTTCCAACCTGCACACATCACCCCACCAGCAAAAACACACCACAACAGCTTACACTTCAGACGAAAATCCATGTTGGTCGGTTCCCACTGACCATAAGCAGGATGTCCAAAACCCGAAACTATCTACAAGTAGAAGCACCGGTACAGATTTCACCTCTCAAAAGGAAACTGCTCGACCCTGTCATATTTGAAGGTGGAATAATGTCAACCAACCGAGGGACATGGGTGTTGAATTTACCTGCATTTGTGCCCCGCATTCTTTGAGATGTGCAAACGTGGCTTTCTCATTCTCTTTAGGGAGCCTTCTCTCCAGTATCTCCAGTGTAACTAAGAAATGAAGGAGGGCTCTTGTAAAAAAAAAAGAAACTGATGAGTGAAAATAATGAAAGAGATTCAACCCTTAGATTTACCTGCACAACTCAGTTTTCTTGGCATCCCCCGTAGATTTCTGGGTCAATTTCCTTGATCGAAGACCATCCCTCAGAAAGAGAAGGCCCTCTCCCAAAAAGAGGCGTCGGAGCCTTCGTTGGTTTTACTCCAACTTGGCCATTTCGAAGAGGGCAAGGGTCTCACCCGTCTTTCATTGGCTAACTGCCATGCGTCGGGCCAAAGCCACATGCAAGAGGTTGAGTTGGTCATCAGGGGTTTTGTGCTCTCGTCAGCCATCTCGTCAGCTGTGCGAGTTTATCGCCTTCCACTTCAGTAGCTTGCACTCTTCCGTATGTTTGTGTCTTACGGCAATTGCGACTGTGACGCATCCCTACAGCAATATGTTCGAGGGCTGAAACACCACACACGCACACACGCTTCTCCCTTGATGACTGAAAAATGCTTTGAATGCCCCAGATTCACTCATTCAACTTTTTGCAGCCCGTTCAACCTGAATATTTCGCCGTGGAAGCCGCCGCTAAGCCGCGGTTTCCCACAAATCCCGTCCTCTGACCCCGTGGCCAATGTTCTCCTGGCGAAGGATGCGATGGGAACGTCATAAGACCCAAACTTCGCCTGGGGAGTGTTTGTTCTTCCCAACTGTGACAGTTAGGGCAAGTCCGGGTCAGTGAATTTATGAGATCGTTCAACTCGCCAGCGCAGAGCGCAGCAGGTTCGCGGTCTGAGGGGCCCCTCTGTTCCTGCCCCCCAGAAGAAAGGTGGGAGGCGTTCTTTGTCCACAGGCGGCAAAGCGAAGCCCCGTTGTGCCATGCCGATGTGGCCCCAATGTCAATTGACTTTTCCTTGGCGGGGTGATGTTTACATGCGGCATATTAAGGCATGTGAGGAATGCTGAACAGGTGAGTCACAATCAAAATCTGCCATTACAAGGGTCTACCCAAATCCATGCAAAGAAATATGACTTTCCCCTACTACCCTCCAATTACTCGACACAAGGGGGACCCCCCAAATGCACCACCACCCCAAACACACTTCCTTGGGGCAGACCAAAAACATCGGGATGGGCCGTTGTTTGGAGGTGCGGGGTGCGTAGGAGCACTCGAAACCGGCAGGGTCCCCCAAAATGGCAATGGTTTCTTTTTGGTGTCCCTTTGGATACCAACAAACAAGGCGTCCCAGATCGTGAGAAACTATGTTGGGATCGGCATGTGTTGGGAGGTCGTGTATTTGAGATGATGGCAAACTCCTTTTTGACGACCATCATGTGGGATTCTTGTGTCTTGGGGGTGGTGTATTTGTGACGCAGCTGTGAAGGCCCGAAACATGCCGGGCACGGCGAGTCGGCGCCAAAGGCCAGGCTCTTGATGCTGCCTCTGTGCCCGGAGCAAACCTCGGACATGGCGCGTGGCGCGCGTGGGAAGAGAATCCTCGGATTCGAAAAAAGGGGAAAAAAAGAGAGAGAAAAAAACAAGAAAAACCAAAAAAAAAGAAATCTGCAAGAGGCAAAGGAGGTAACATTTGACGTGAAACAGGGATGCTTCTTGGGAGGAGCAGAATCCAAACGGCACCATTCATTCTCGATTTAGACCAAAGCAACTGACAACAATGCGAGGGACCCAAAAAAAATCAGAGCAACGACTCACCACGCACCGAACACCGACGCCGACAAATGCGCAAGTTGTCATCCAAATGGCTCGGATGACCCTGCCATTCTCGATGTTCAGCAGTCTGGACGTCCTGCCCAGACGTGGCGATGGGTCCCCCATCAAAAAAAAGGATGGGTGTCAACATGGGGGGAGCCCCGAAAAAAACAGGTGGGGGATCCTTTTGGTTTCTCCTTTTGGTTGGTCTTGAACCAAGGTGAAAAGGGCACCGTCAAAACAACGCCCATATGTCCTTCACTCGTCCCCGCAAGCAAATCTGCCAAACTGTTTTGGCGGATAAAATATTCAGCGTCCAAATTGTTAGGACCATGTACGATGAAACATGGCGTGTCCAGCCACGTTGTCAGCGCCAAAACGATTTCCCTTTGGGCACATTTACGAGCCGCATGCAACGTGGGGGAAGGGGGGGGGTATCAAATCTTCATATGTGCCACGTCAAAAACCTCATATGTGGGTCATGGTCACGGCTTCCAGAGTAGGAGAATGCGGGTACTTCTTGTCTAATGTGTTTGCTTTGAACAAATGCCTACAAAGCCCAAGTAAACGGGTGTTCAGAGCAAGGCAAACAAGTGGTGACAACAGCTATCATACCTCCCATTCCAATTCGGTCGCCGTTGGAAGCGAAGAAATTCCACCCGGTGGGACCCTTCCCATTGCCCATCCGGTCCCATCAAAGCACCCAGTGGCCAGGAGCTTGCCATTCGGCGAGCAGGCCTGCGATCGCGAAATGACTTGGTGCAAGAGATGCAGGGAAGACATGGAGTCTGACTCCAAGAAAAGCCATCCAACGGGTGATTTCCTTTAAGGGGACCCCTGGGTTCATTCCCACATCCCCTGAGCACCAGCGAAATGATTTCCGGCAAAGGATCTTCATGTCCAAAGAAAAATACTGGATTGAACACTTTGATAGACAATGTTCATGTTCATGTCTTTGGATGGAAAACCAAAAATTCGTCCAAAGACATAAATGCTGTTTTTGTGAGTTGGCCTATTCACAGGCCAGTGTTTTCTACTAAAATCTCCGGAGATGAAGCCGGAAATTGTTTGTCTTTGGAAGGCAGATCAATGTTTGAGATGGTTGTTTCAAGAGGGAAACCGAAAAACTCACACCCCCTGGAACGAAGGGGACTGACTAAAATAGACCAACAACCTTTGAAGGTGAAGGCGATCCCGTAAAATGTGTGGCTTCCTTTTACTTTTCCTGGTAAACCCCAACCAAAAGGGTGTGCAGCATTCAGAGGAAAACTTGCTTCAAGACTTAAAACCGAGAAAAATAAAATCGGGGGGAACCCCTGGTTTGGAAAACTGACTAAAGTAGAAAACAGTTGTGTAAAGTTTGTTTTGGAAACTCTGACTAAAAAATAGAAAACTGACCAAAACTGACTCGAAACCGACTAAAATACTTGTTTGGAGTGGTGTAAAGTTCCTCTTGACGAAACTTTCCCATCTTTGCGGGTCCCTTTAGCCTTTAGCTCGAGCGAGCGACGTCGAAATCCCCATGGGAGACAGAGGCTTGCTAGCATGCTAGCATGCGAGTGGCTTGTCTGTTTTCTGCCCCCACCCCCCCTCCCCAAATTTTCAATTTGGTGGTTGTTCCTTTTAGCCTTGCCTTAAAACCATGAACAAAATGGGTTTGAAGGGAAACCTGAAAGGAAGCCCTTCCTAAATAACCCTGATATTCGAGACACCCGCGGGCTTAAAGTGGCCTACACATAACCCCAGAAAGAAGCTCACTTGCAATAAGGTCACGTTTCAACCAACCCCAAAGCGGAAATAATAGCAGGTGTCGTCCAAAAACATGGGGGGTCCTTTGCCCCTTTTTTTCACGGCGGCACCGACACGTTCTCTGTTGTTTGTTCTTGTGTGTAGGAGTCGGCCATCTGTTTGACCCCTTGGGGACCCCCAAAACAACCATCGCACCCCAACCCCCAACAACCACCGCACCCCAAAGCTTTGGGTTCAAAAATGCTTTGAACCCCTGGTGGCCACCAAGGCTTTTCGGACACAAAGACCCCGAAAAAGAAAAAGATCAGGGGCTGGACCAATATTCCCTTCGGCCCCCGAATGACCACGGTGAACTTTTCACGTGCGGTTGCAATATCGAATCTGTCTAGTTGTTTTGTGGCTTTCCAACCAATGGTCATCACATGTTTATCGGAGCTTTTGATCAACCCCAGCAGAATGGCAGGTTGCACACGTGAATTCAGGCATCACATACTGGTCAACTGTTATGGATGAGGCCAATTCCAAACAAAAACACCCCACCCCAAAAAAAGAACAAACATATCATCTTTTTAGTGGCTTCCAACCAACGGTCATCCCATGATTGTCGGACCTTGTGATTTTCATCAATCCCCCCCCCCAACCCCAACCCCCCCCCCAACCCCAACCCCCCCCCAACCCCAACCCCTGCCCCCCCCCCCCAAAATAAAAACGCACCCCAACCCCAAGAACAAAAAATAACACCGCCAAACCCCTGCCAAAGAAAAACAAAAATAACAAAAAAACCGCCGCGCGCCACGGAGAAGATGGCGCCCAGGTGGCCGCTGTACTGCCTGGCGCTTGGGTCTTGGGCCGCGCGGCTTCACCCGGTTTCTCCGGCTCTAGGCCACGGGTTTCGGGGCCGGGGTCGTTGGGAGGTGGTACCCTTGCTTTGTTGGCTGTGGAGGAAAACCATCAAGAAACCAATTCTGGGTACCCGGTACCCCCCCTTTTTTTGGTTGGATTTTTAGAGGGAAACCAGAAAGAAACCAAGACTGGTAGCCCCCCCCCCCTTTTTGGTTGGATTTGAAGGGAAGCTGAAAAGAAACCAAAACGAAGGTTTGGGCGAGTGCAACCTCAAAAACAACACACACCCATGTATAGTCAGCTTCCCTCTTGGTTTGAAGCCCGGTGGGTTGGAGCTAAAACCTGGCGTTCAAAACCAAAGCCACCAATCCAAGCAAGTAAACGTTACCTACCTGGATGTTGGTTGCTTACCTAGCATCTACCGAAAATTCTGTGCCATCTACTTTGAAAAGAGAGAATTTTCAAGAAAACAATAAGTCGGAAAGACAACCCGCCGTATGAGTTGCACGACCATGCCGGGATTCACCCCAAACAGTTGTGGGCCGTTTTAACTATGGGGCTCCTCCTTCAACGCCCGATACATGGCTGTGGGTCAAAAAAAGGTACCCAAACTGGAACCCTGGTAAACGGAAACATGGACTAAACCTGCAGTCCCCTCCTTGATTTTGAGCCACACCCAAATCAAAATCACCCGATACATGAAAACTGATGCTTAAACCACACATTTCCCCGGTCACTCTGGTTCAGCGACTGGAATGCGCCCAGCGGAACCCTCGCGAATGACTGCGAGTGCATCTCAAACAGGGAAACCCTATGCCAAAAACGACAGGACATGGCTCGTTTTCCTGGTCTCCCATGCAAAGAACTCCCAAAAGGGTCTTTGTACCTTCAAAAAAGACAGGGCGTGTCTCAAATCAGGGGGAATCTTATCGAGGTGGTTGGCGTCTTGTTGGTCCCCCATGTCCCTCCCAAAGGAACCATAGACTACTAATGTTTCGAGCGAGCCTCATCATCTCATATGCCAAAAGTAGGAGCCTTCAAGTTAGTCATGTCAGTCGATGGCAAATACCCTCCCGCTGAGACCCTGATTTTGATGCCCACCCCCATGGGGATTGATATTCCACAGGGTATGGTTTTTGTTGGGGCTCATTCTATTTCTCATTCTCTGCCCAGCAAGTCTGTCGTGTGGTTTTGTTTTCCAAGGGTCATTCTATGTTTCTCGGACCTTCTGATCCACCCCCCCCCCCCCCTCCCCCCCCAGAAAGGCTCCCTTACAGAAAATCGATCCACCGGCTCCCTGATTTGATACCCGAAGCCTTAGGCTCTCGAAACCGGTAACTAACAGCCTCCATGTGCGAACCTGGGGAAAAATGAGAAGGTCTTTCCAGTAGTGAGAGGTTCCCTTTAAAACCAACAACATGTTTTTTTTGTGTAGCAGAATAAAGGACAGCAAATGGAGGCCAGGGTTGCCATATATATATATATATATATATATATTTGAGGCAACTGGACTCAGCCTGCCTCATGAACTTCCCGGTCAACACGTTCCAGAGCTGAACCGTCCCATCCTTGGTCAGACTCGGCTTATGGGCGATCCCTCCGGCCAATAGGAGGATTCTCTTTTTGTTTCTCAAACCAGACAAGAAAGGGGTGCCCCAAAAACTCAGACTTAATGGCCAACGTCTTGAGGGAGGGGACTCGCCTCCTCTGGATGCGGCTCGACTCGTCTTGTTTGGGATTTGGACCACTACAACATGGTGGCCTTTGAACCACAAATGGGGCTCTCTACATTTCCCCTTAAAACATCACCCCCACCAAAAAACACTCACCTTTCATGGGTCAAAAGGGTGATGTTTAAAACCACCAAAAGGGACGTATAGGGACCCCTGACAAAGGACGGTACCCCAAAAGACACACCCGAATGTTGGTGAGCGAGGTTCCTGATCGAACCATGGGACAAGCGATGTGGGTGCGTGTTTCGCTCATCCACCGCTGTGTCAAAGCAACGACCCTGCACCGGTTACCCAGGACGTTTTCGGGGTTCAACATCTTAGTGTGACATCCACCAAAGAGGGAAAAAACGGACCACAAAACAACAGGGGGTTGATTGACATGTAAGCACACATTACAACTCAAGCAACAAAACGGGCAACGTGAAAAGCAGTGTTCATGCTGCGGCCACTGGAACTTGTTAGATAGCTGCATGCCCTCTCAAAACAGTTGCACAGCCGCAACTGGTTGAGGCCTCCATTGATCGATTCAGGTGCTCAGCAACAAAGGGACTTCTCGCTTTAAAGAAAACAGGAGGCACGCGCGTCTAGACCGCCAAAGTGTGCGTGAACAAATCAGAGCCGCTCACATTTAGAAGTGTATATAGTATGCATGTCTGTCTGTATGTATATATATATAAGCTATATGCATACTCTGTATGTATATACATATATATATATATATATATGCATGTCTATGTGTGCTTATTTTACACCTGCTGCTCGGGTCGTGATTTTTTTTTTGGGGGGGGGGGGAGAATGAGTTTCTCCGATGGAAGTGCTTGTCAGCTTCGAGTTCTGCGATCTCCTCGGTTGTTCTTCTGCGAGCACGGATATGCTTCATGGGGCGATCTTGGCGTGGGACACCTGCAGATCTCTGGCTTTGATCGTGCTTCATTGTGGGCTGTGCAAACAACCTCGCAATGCTCTTGGGTCCAAAACCTGCGCAACCCGCAGCAAACCATCCCTGCTCGAAACTCATGCAAGCAATTCATATTATACAAGTATATGGGAATTGTTGGTGAAACCTCCAGCCACATCACTTTCCCAAACACGCATCTTGTGCTCAAGTGCATCCAAAGAAGGTGTTTGGAGCAATGTGTTCCAAAGCCTGCGCTCTTTCTCGCAAAAAACAACTGGTTGTGGGTGTGTCTTTTTTGTTGGGTCCCCCGCCCTATGGTGGGTATCCTCTTGGTTTTCCTTTAAAACAACAAGCCATTGTGCGGTGACCCTATTTTTGACCCACGCTTCTCGTGTGAGCTGAGCGGCCACCATGCCCAGGGCCAGAATCAGCCCGGACCTGACGTTGCCAACCGATAGCCGCCGGAGAGGAAGGAAGCGGAGCCCCGTTTTCAATGAGCCGCCCATGGCGTAAATTTGGCAAATGGTTTGCCCTAGTGAGTGGAAACATGGACCAAAACCTGCGGTCCAATTCCTGGTGGTTAAATTTGCCCCATACCCATTCCAGAATACTCCCAAATGGGAACACATTAAAAAGCTCCCGAGGGATAGGTTTGGCGTCACCCTGAAAGGGATCGAAAGGTCCATAACTTTGACAACACCAAAGTGAACTTCCAATTGGACTTTGAATGTGCTCACAAATCATGACTATCGGGCTGTTACCAAGTCTTTAGCACAAAGGAGGGCCAGAATTCTCAGAAATTCCCAAAGACCCCCCTGGTCCTGATCAGAAGAGAAGTTGTTTGAATATCTCATGTGCAACAATCATCTAGGCAAATTAATTACCAGACTTCCTCAAGCAGAAGGCCCCGTCACCATGGGGTAAATCGCTTGTGGTACCCCACGCTCGGTTCTCAGCGCAGAAATCAAACGGCACGCCCGGAGGGAAGAGATCACCCTCGAGCTCGACAGTAAGGAAAGGGGGGAACCTTCTGCGAGAAGGCTTCTTTGGCCAAAGGGTCTTTGGTCTCTTTTTTTTTTGGGGGGGGGGAAGGGGTGGGGAACCCTGTCTTTCCAACCACAGACCTGTTGTTAGAGCTCCATTTTACCTTTCATGGGTCCAAAACACCGGGCAGGGGGAATATCCGAAGGTCGAAAAACAGGGTCTTCACCAGGCGGTTTTGAAGCCCTAACCTCCCCTCGAGCCCCTGACTGCGCCAGGGCTGCAGACTTCACCCCGCCGTAGCGGCACTCGAAGGTCCTGACGACGCGCCGGTGCCTTTGGCCGCCGTTTTGCCACCCCCCCCCCCGGCCCCCCCCCCAAAAAAAAACGGGGACCGAGAAAAACAAAACACAACACGCACAATTATGTTTGAGAGACCCCCGCAAAAAAAAAAAAACACCAGCATAGACCCCAGATAGCAATGATTGCACATCAGCACCTCCAACAGCACCCCCCGAAGAGCGTCCCAAACAGCACCCGGCCGTCAATCGAGCACCCGCGACATCACTAGCACCTCCAACAGCAAAACAGCACCTGCAGCAGCACCCCAAACTGCATGCCCCCTGCACCCTGCCGTCAATCTCGCAAAAATGCGCCTGCACCGTCGCCCTAAGAGCACCCCAAACAGCACCCCCCCAAACACCCAGCCGCACCCCAAACAGCATCCCAAAACGCCACTTGCACCAGAACCCCAAGCTGCATGCCCCCTTGCACCCTACCGTCAAGATGCAACAATGTGCCTGCACCGTCACCTGCATGCCCGATAGCACCCGGGCGTCAATATCGCAAATTGCGCCCGCACCGTCACCAGCACCTCAAACAGCTCCCCAAACAGCATCCCAAAACACCACCAGCACCCCCAAACTGCATGCCCCCGTGCACCCTACCGTCAAGATGCAAAAGCACCATCACCCCCCAAAACAGCACCTGCAACCCCCCCAAACTGCATGCCCCCTAGCACCCTACCGTCAATCTTGAACAGATGCGCCCGCACTGCCATCAGCACCTCAAACAGCACCCCAGTCCGCAAAAACCAGCACCGCAAACTGCACGCCCCTTAGCACCAGCCCATCAATCTCGCAAATCACTTCCCCCTCTTTATTAGAAGTTAGAACCCCTATAGCTTTCAGCTATCTGGGGAAAAAAACCAACCTCGCAATGATTGGTTTACATCCGTTTCCCTTGGAGCAGAGCTACAAGCCACGTGTGCCTGTGGAAATCAAAAGCCTACGGCTGCCTAAGTTTCCTCTTTCACTCTCCGAAGGGTTGGCGGTTTCTTGCAAAAGAGAGGTGGCAACCCAACTACTCAGAGGGACCCACATTTCAGGGCCTTTCTCTTTCTGGGGCAGAATCAACAAACTACAGCGTGCCTTTGCCGAGTGGTCCCGAGCAAAATTCGAGCATGATGTGCTGCATGGAACTCAAATATATATTCTCAAAAGATCCAAAGGGACTAAGGATCCACCAAAAACAAGCCCAAGCATGCTTCCCTTTCGACAACCCAGGCTGAGACGCATGCCCAGCTCGGAATTCATTTGAATGAACCCTTCCGTCTTTGACCTAAGTCGAGTTGTTTGACTGTTGGTGGTAAGAAACATGCAGTTTTCCCAGGATCAAGGGCATTTCTATTTGTGGGCTTTCGAGGCATGAAGGCTACCTCTTGCGCAAGGGAGTTTTGTTGCTGCCTTCCCAGATTATAGTGGAAAATGTCCAAACCCATGGCCACCAATGACAGCTAAAAGCTGCCCTCCCCAACCTGGAACTGTGGAACCGGGTGAAGAGGTGGAGGAAAATGGCCCTCCAAAGGCATTCCCACCAGTTCCACGCAGGATTGTTAAAGTAAAGAGCAACTAGGAATCCACCCAAAAAAAACTCCCAACTTCTTCACGATGTACGGGTATGTCTGGTACCCCTGCAGGATCTTGATTCGGACGGTTTTGAAAGGGAATCATGATGTGACACCAACTTCCAGGGAACTTTCAGCTTGGGTGCTGCAAGAAGGGACACAACGAGGAACCCTCCCCATTTTCGCTGGACCCCAGACCCCCAAGCTCCTCGCAGCACCCTCAAATGGAAAACAGTGACCCACCACGGGCCCGGCTGTGTGATGTTGGCAGGGCAAGTGGGGATCAGGATGTCTTGAATGATCCCTTTTCCAAAGTCTGTTCAAAGCTCCTGCTCCATCCCAAACTTGACGCAGGACTTGCGACTTTGTTGCAGAGTGAGATGTGAAGCGCGAGCCGATACTTCGCATGAGGCAGTGTCTGTTTCTCGTCTGTGAAGCACTCAGCGGAAGGAGAAAAAAAAAGGGCCCTAGGATGAATAACGCAGGTCGATTCATAGGGGGTGTCCCGTTTTGGAGACAAAGGCTGCCAACACTCCCCAATCCACCAGATGCTGTTTTATCCGACGACACTACGAACAAACATCCAAGCATTCAAAACGACTCGATACCACTGTGGGCCTTCCCCATGACTTTATCACAAAGCCGCTCCCTTGGTATAAGAGGCGAACGCCCAAATTGTCCACAAACAGGCATCAAAATGTCAAAATTATCGCCATAACCCCCCTTCTCCACTTTCCCCAAGGTCCCCAACTGCCCGAGTCCTCTCACATTTGCCGGACTCCACACCTCAGTGTCTCAGATTTCGGACACGACTCGCGAAGCTTTGCTTTGCGGAGCCCTGCTCCGGACTCAAATCGAGGGGAGCCCTGCTCCGTGAGAAAGTGGGATTCCATCCAGAGAGGTTTCCGGAACGACCTCCCGAGCGAGCTTCAGTGGGTGAGTGAATCACCGGAGGTGAATTCCCTCATTGCAGAAAAAATGGCCCGGGAATGGCCCCAACATGCCGTTTCCGGAAGACCTCCCAAGCAGGCTTTCTTTGGGAGAGTGTATTACGAGGAGCGATTCATGTCGCAACCCCCAACCTGCTGCAATTGAACCTGAAACCCAACAAGCTCGGGTCGGAAGGCTCAAACCAACGGTACCTTCAGATGGTTCTGCAGGAATGGAGGCCTTTAAAAAAAAAAAAAAAGCAAGCTTATGTACGCGGTATACAACCTCCATACCTCCAGAACCCATACCTGAAAATGCACTTGACAAAGAGTTTTTGCTGATGAGGATACCCTTTTCAAGCTGCCTTTTTCCCCCAGACACTTTACCCCCAGAAAGCAGAAAGAGCAGCCGGGGAAAGCCGCAACTGGGAATCCAGGCACCATTTCTTGCATACTTTTTGGAAAATGGAAGGCCCTATAGACGACTTAATCACAAACCAGGAATCGTCCTCTATTCCACCAAGCCAAAAAGGACACCTACCCTCCCACCAACCCCGACTTTGCACAAAAACAAGAAGCCCCCTTTCCTTCCAAGCGCAAGGGGCGTGTTTCTATTGTAGTCTACGCACTTCCATGTTCGTTGCTGGGAGAGGTGTCCGGTGTCCCGCTTCCCCGACGACTTTCCCACCCCAAACCGCGCGACCGCGAGCGACCGAACGAAGCCGCCGAGCGAAGCCGGGGCCGCCCGCTCCACACGGCGGCCAGGCCGTCGTCGAAGGCGGCGGCCACCAGAAGTCTGAAGTCGAGTCGCGCGGACCCGGCGGACCCGGGTGGGGTCGAAGCGCAGACCGGCGAGCGGCCGTTTTTTTTGGAGCCATGTGGGTGTTTGTGGTGGGTAGCCCAAGTTAAACCAAGCCCAAAAAGGGCATCCTGAAAAAAAGGACACACCCCAGAAGCGTTCAGATCAGCCCGTGGCTTTACCGTAAAGTCACTCCCTAAGTGGTGGGTGAAAGGGAAACAACCGCCTTTTCTGACTTTGAGAAAGGTCCATCCCCCCAAATGGTGGCCCAAAAGTAGGGGGCAGCATTGCAAGGGCTTCTCTCTCTTTCTGGAAAACAGTTTGGAGGCGACTCTTCTTAGGAATTTGAAAGCGAGCGAAAAAATACTAAAGAATAAACAATGGGGGCAAGCAACATCGGTGGAATCTTCTTCCAAAAAGCGCGTCCGAGCCGTTTTCTAGAAAATGGGTGCGGGTTCAAATGGGCGGGGCTCGAAAAAAAGTACCCAAAATGGAAACCCTGGTGTGTGGTCTGGTGGTTGAATTCTGACCCATACTGAAATGGGAGTGCCTCTTTTCACCAATAGCGTGGTGTCTCGCACAGTGACCTAAGGCAGCGCTTCAGATGTCAGTGGGGTATGTCTTGTTGTTAGGGCACCCCAAAAAGGCATGGGTTTGAAGGGGAAACGAACAGGAAAGCCGAAGCGTTTTGGCCTATTTTGCGGCCCACTGGGTTTGTCTCATGTTGAAAAGCCCCACAAAAAAAGACGATGTCCTTGGTTCTCCTCTGAAAGCAATTTTAAGATACCCAGTTTTAAATAAAGACAGGTTCAAATTTGGCTAAACTCTTTACACCAAAATGCTGACTTGCTGATTGTGGTTCATGCACAGTCTATTTCAAAATACGAAATAATTCTGGGAGACTCCCGCAAATGGGTGACGGTCCCTGGCCTCCCTGGTTCAAATGGGATGTGTGTGTGTGTGCATCTGAAGTGTTGCACACAGGTTAATACCCAAACATGCATGCGTATTTTTATGTATACGTACGTGTGGTTCCTCTTGAGGCTCCCACTTTTCGGGTGGGTTCAACGCCAAAGGGGAACTGTCGATTTTCAGAGTTCCCAATAGAAAAGACACTGTGGATTAACATTCTAGGGGTTGATTCCCCATTCTTTTCAACCATCGTTCTTTTCAAACACCAGCGGTTTTCCCAGGGTTTTGGTGGTTTTCTAGAAAGAAGGATCCCTGGAAAGAATGGGCAAGCTACCCTTAGAAACATGGGTTTGTCTCTAAACTAAATGATGCAACCCTCCCAGAATAGGCTGGCTTTGGCACCCTCCAACAAAAAGACGCAAGTGGCGGTGGGTCACTTTGGCGGGGGCCAAAGCTGAAGCAACACATCGAACGCCACACACACACACACCCTTCCGCAAGAAAGAAGATATGTTTGTGTTTTGCCTGGTTTGTTTGTGAAGAAAGCAACAAATACACAGAAAACACGGGTGACACATTTGCGGGTAAGCCGGACATGTTTGTATTTGTTTCCTGGTTTCTTTGTTAAGAAAGTAACGAACACACGCCAAAAAACATCAAAACATGGGTGCCAGGGAAGCCGGACGGAGCCGGGCCGGCTCGAGGCTACCAAGTTGTTCAGCGGGTGTGTTCGAGTACCCCCTCTTTTACATGGCACCTGACAAAGCGCTGCGTCCCTAGAGGAGTTTGATCTTCCAGGTATCCTTCCACAGTTGCTACGTTAGTGGCAAGGAGGGTCTAGGTCCTCCAGAGAGCTTAGAATCAGGGTACCAACTTTTTTCATTCTTGTCTATTTTAGCAGGGCAACCCTCCCAACCAAAACATTGGGTGAGAAAGGGCCCTACTGGAAAAAACACCTAGGGGTAGTTGGGTGACAAGCCCTGGAGGCATGGGGCGCTTCGCAAATCCTCCAAACATCAAACGCGGCGGCGGCACTCCGGATTTCTGATGGCCGTGACCTCAGATTCGGGGGCCAAAAGTGGTTGCAACAAAGACGCCCTCCGGCACCAAGGCCCGACCAAAACATGGCCTGGCGGCATGCATAAAATCCTTTCCCATACGCAGTGCCGCAGTACACCCTTTTTCATGCAAAAAAGGATGTTCAAAGAAGCTGGGACAATTACGATAAGAAAAAAACCGACACTGGAAATAAGGGACCGGGATACCCAAGTACGAATAGTGTTGACTGGCAGGGGTTGAGGGCGTCTTTCTTTTAGCTACTTAATGCCAACCTGTTCTTGAAACGACCGGTTGCCTTCTGACGAACAAGGATCTTCATTGTAACTGAGTACGCCCGCAATCCGCAAGGGTGAGCTGTACCGTGCCTACCCCCCAAACCACTGCATCCTGAGTATATGACCCTTTCTATCATGCCGAGTGTTTGTCTAGGCCATTACAGCCCCACAAAGCCACTTCGAGGCCTGTGGGGCGCGGATTGAGCCGGGGCATCTCACCTGAAGCCGACAAAGTGACGCGACTTTGTGCAGAAAGGGAATTCAGCCCGTTCTGGGTGTAGTAAGCCATGCTTAGGTTGAACTTGTGCGGGTTCAGGTAACATCGCAGACCATCGACAACTCCTTGGGATGGTCAGCTGAAACCCCGAAGGTCCTTCTTTTGGCAAGCATCCGACAGCTGGGCCAAGGAGCTGCATCACATGTCAACACTTGAAAACAACAATGCCATCAAACCAAATCGAGGCAAACATCAAACACATGACCATCATCTTGACCAAATCCTTCCTGTGTCCCCAACCAGGACTCCTGGTAGCCGCAAAAGGCCCCCTCTTCAAGCAAGCTGGGATACCCCCAGCTCCGGACCGGCTCGCTCTCCTCCAACCACTAGCTAGCTTCACTTTCATCACCGCGCTCGCCTCAGATCCCCGCACTCAACCCACTAAAAACCTCCGGAACCGGATCGCTGGGCGCCACCAAGATCATTCGCACCATTGTTCTTCACCCGGACCTACCCTCCCAACCTTCGCTTCACCTCGAAAAATTGCGTCCAAACGGGGCCCCGGGCCGGGCATCCGTCGAAGAAGCCGCAATCCTCCAGAAGCTGCTCGGGGCGCAGCACCTGTCGACGGAGAAGCTTCCGCCCGCGGATGGCTCACTCGTCCTGAAAAACACAAACAAAACGCGCAAAAGGCATTCAATGTGTGTTGTTGTGTTGCACCAAACTGTTATTTCCTTCTGAATTAACACCTTTTTGCTTTTGCCAGACAACCCACCCAAATGGGTGGGTTTTTCTTTTGCGACCCGCCCCCCTCTTCCCCCCCTTCCCCCCTCTCTCTCCCCCGCAGCCCCTGTGATTTTGGCTCCCCAAAAGGAAACCGCGGAAAATAAGGAAACATCCAACTAGGCGCGTAACCCTGGACATCATTTATAGGGATGATTTATTTTTTTAGTTTTCCCGGGAAACCAACAAAAACAAGCACCGCGATAGGGACCGCACCCCTATTTTGATATAGCCAAAAGTCATCTCGCTGCTTCGCCAGGCAGGGACTCACACGGCTTTTGGGAATGAGCCCATCTGCTCCTTGCAGCAGGCGTTCGCGCGGAAGATTCCGATGGACCAAGTCCATGGATTTCCCCAAGCAATCACAAGGACAAATAGATGGGTTTGGACCAATATCAGATGGTTTTTCTGGTAAATGGATGGCATAAAACCCATCTATTTCCACTAACCAATCAAAAGGACACCTTCTTAAAGGGGCACGGTACTTGGGAAGTGATTGAGCCTGGTGAGATAACCCACAAAAGCCATGGTAAGTCTCCATTCGGGTTGTCTCCCACCAGGCCTACGATCACCACTTACCTGTACCGAATCGATGGACTTGAATTTGATCGGTTGGTCCGTTGTTGTTGTGTTTTGTTTGTTTAAAAATAAGAATCAGAGAAAAAAATATGAAAGGGCAATCCTGGGTTTAGATGGGTTTATGCCTTTAACAGGGAAACCCCATCGATTTCGGCAAAAGGCCCAAACTTCATTGGCTCGCCGAGTATCCGCATGGGCCGTTTTCCCCCAGAAAGCCACGATTCGGTGGCGATCTCTTGTTTTCGAGTTGCTACCCTTTGTTTGTGGTTTCAAAGGGAAACTATAAGGAAAGCCACCCAACGAGCCGCACATATGATTTGCCAGAGGCAAGATCCAGGCGCAAGATCCGTAGGGTGTCTCAAAACCAAGCCCACAAAATGGTAGCTTCTCTTTTTGCTTTCGCTTCGGATTCATCGAAGCAACACCAAAAAGGATGGGGCCCTACCCGATTTTCCCAAAGCCACCTTGAAAATCGCAGGTTCTTTGGGAGTAGAAAGAGTACCTCACTTCCGATGTGGAAAGAGAAGTCTGAACTTTCTGTTTACCACTGAAGTGGTCTTCCCAAAACGCATAAAGTCAGGGAACTCAAGGAGCGAGGCCCCGCAGTCCCTCTCGCCTTCAGGTTTAGGATGAGCGTCAGGTTGAGGCCCACCCCAGCCACCTGAAAAAACCGCGGAAGCATCCAAGATCTCGCTGCCAAGCCTTCTGGGTATGCGTCAAAGCCCGCCTCCGCACCCCATGTTGGTGGTTTTGACTTTTGGTGTGCCCAACCCAAAGAGGATAAAGGGTGCCGAGCCCCAACAAAAACACAAACCCTCCAAAGACGGCACGAGTTGGTCGAAGCTGTTGGGCTGAGGGACAACTCAGTTCAAACTCTTTGCCCATGTTCTACTCAGGTCTTCTTTGTCCATTTGCTTAAGTTCCCTCGACACAAAATAATTTCTAGCAGTGATAGATTCCTTTTTTCACCAGCAGGGAAAATAACACATATTCTTAAGCGAATGGAAAGTTGTTGAAAGGCCTAGAGAAACCCGGCCGCGGAGTGAGGAGCATTCAAAAACTGGCAACTTTTACTGTGGCTACCCCAAAACGCATGGTAAAGAAATTAAGGGCAGTCATGCCTATGTTTCTGGTGGGGGCAGTCCTCAAATCTGCACGTGCCCGCTATTTTTGATTATGGCCGGCGTGCTTGTTCATTTTCGGATTTGGTTGCTCGCTCTTTGCTTGTGCACTCCTCCAAAGACACTGGCAGAAGGGTAGAAGTTTGGTCAATGGGAAACTACTGAAAACCGCCACCAGCTTTCTACCCTTCCAAAGGAGCAATCACGCCAATACAGTTTTGGCAGAAAGGGCACTCTCCAGCAACTTTCGCATCAAAATCGGGAAATCCCAGGTGGGTTCTCAACTTGTGGTTTCCCGGAAAGCAACCTGAAAAGGATACCAACTACAAAGACATGCTTCCCTTGAAACCCACCTAGAAGGAGCACCCTCAAAAACCACACACATCCGTTTGCGGTCGCCGACCCGCCGACGGAACAAATGCCTGGCCTGCTTGATGGAGTCCACCAGATCAGCCACGCTCTGGCGTTGAGATGCCTTGATCCTTGGGCTGGAGGCGGTGGGGCTTTTTCTCCCTCAGGCCCGGCAGGCACCATGCCATATCTTACTGGGCGAACAACCTGCACCGCGGAGAAAAATAAAGCTCGGTGCCTTGGCTTGGAGAACGCAATCAAAAGACTGATTTGAAAGAGCGAATGCCGGTTGCAAAATGCACCGCTCATTGTCTGCCATCGGACCCAAGTCTGAGCCTTTCGCTTGGCCAGCAGGCTCCCGTTAATGCGCTGCACGTGCACCATGATGTGGTCCTGGACGGTCAAGCAGAATCCGCGAAGCAAACCGAGCCTCAGAAATCTCATGGAAATATTGAGCCATGGGAACCCCAAACCATTGCCGTGGTTTACCAATTCTGTCAGCAAAGCCCCTTTTTAAGCTCGCATGTTCTTCTCTTCCCATACACTAAGCCCAACCCCAAAGGGTGCCCCTCAAAGACACACCAACATGGGTATGGCTGAAAATTGAACCACCAGGAATTGGACCGCAGGTTTTTACTTCATGTTTCCATTTGCCAGGGCAAACCATTTTGGGGTTATCCTATTTTTGGCAGCCAAACATTTTGGAGCGCATCGACACCTCTGGAAGATGCGTTCTCCTTCCCTTCCGACCAACGTGGTCGCTCCCAAGACCCGAAAAGCACAAGAAACTTGGCTGGGAAGCCATTTTTGTTTGGAGGAGAAAACATGTTTGCCGATTTTCTACCCAAACAGGCTCCATGCCTGCCTCGGCATCTTCGATAATGTCCTGGCAAATGGCATGAGACGCCAGAAACATGGACCTGGAAAATGCGACACGAGCTTGTCTCCAACCAAGGCACCCCTAGAAACGGCTGGGCTGCGTTTATCTCCCGCCAAACCAACCCAGAAAAGGGTTAAAAGGATTGGTAGATTGGACCCATGATATTCAAGCAGTGGTTTCCAGGGATACTTTGGACACATTCTGCTCTCTGAAATTCAGGATGCTTGAAAGTTGAAAGTCGCCGATGACCACTACTCCAAATAGGTGTTTCACCTAAATGCCCTAGAAAACGCGGGGTAGTTGGAGTGGCGTGGCAAGTACATACCAGATGCACCAAACCCGCCGACTCTTGGCCTGAAACCCGACATGGTGGTAGATAGAGGTTTAACCAAACCTTTGTTTTTCATCCCATGAAACCAGGTAGTAGAAACATCTACTAAACCCTGGGGTTCTGTGACCACCGCTAAAGCAATGGGGTCATATAACCACCATCATTTGCCTAAACATTGTCATCATCCGAATTAAATCAACCATTCTTTTAACGCGGGCAAGAAGCCCTACAAAACCAGGCGGTGATGTGCAAGGAGGTGAAATCAAATACTGTATCCAGTAACCTATTGTCAAATCAATAGGAGGGACATTGAGGGCCTCCCTAGCATTCCCACCAAGGAAGCAAAACATAAAAATGTTCCACGTACATTGTAGTACCTGCAGAAAAGGGGTTGCTCCGAAATAAAAATGGCTGAAGCAATCTTCGGATGGAAAGCCACCCAACCTCCAAGCCACTCCAAACCAAGTGGGAGGCTGAACTCACTTACCAGGACCCTGAAAGGTGATCTTTCGGGGCTACTAAAATGGTTGCCATCATGGGGAAACCAAAAGGTCCATTCCTACCTTATCCGGGTCGAAATGAGGATGTACTTCGGCCCTTTTTGGCCACACCAAGAGACCCTGAAGGTCAGCTTCTGCCCAAAAGGTCCAAAATCAGTTCGATTGGCGGCTTGGCCCATGCGGAAAGCGTCTCCTCCAAGGCATCTTGGATTCGCTCTTCGGGCTCCCGCGGTGCTATTGGCCTCGGGAGACGGCTGCGGTTCGTGTCTGTTGGGTTCGGGGGATGGGGGGGGGACAGGCGGGGATGGGGGTGGATGGGGAGAAGAGGGGGAGAGGGAGCAATTTGGGATGCTCTGGCAGACAGGCGCGAACTAGCTAGCTGACGCCAATCCCTAGGAAAAGTGAGTTAACGCAAAACAGGCAAAAGGAATACACTTGCAAATGGCCCAGAAAGTGTTTAAGCTGGTCAAAGCGGGAAATATGGAGAAGTCTGTCAGAAGCGGCAGTGAGCGAGCTCTCTCTTTCTTAATTGCCCCGGTATCAGGCACAAGTAATTCGCCCGAACATCTTGCGCACAATATCTCGCTCGAGCGCGTACGTGCATACGTATCTTACTCGCATGTACTCGCCTTATGCACAAGATCTTTCTTATGAGCATTTTGTTTCTGTGCGTCTTTCTGATTCTTGGAGCAACTAACATCTCAACATGTTGGTTTGACGGGGGGGGGTTGCCCGGGACTTTTACGCTGCCCTGCGCATGCGGATCCTCAGCGTGTTGGGGAGGGAACCGGCGGGGGAGGGGGATGGAAAGAACGCGGGCCCATGTTTCCAGCATGTCGAGGCCAACCTGTGCTTCAAACTAGTCGATCCCGACCCCCTAGCCCCACACGCCTCATGACTTCTGCGCTTTCTGCACGCTCTACTTGACTGCGCAGTCCCATTTGCTTATCTGACGGGCTGCCACTTTGCCGCAGGTGATTTTAGACACCTGGTGTCTAAGAGGGCTTGGGGTCTTCTTGCGTTGAAGGAGCTACCTTCCATTCCCGTATGCTGGCTTTTGTCGGTACCGGGCAGGAACGGAAGTTCTGCCAACAAGCTACAGCGCAGCTCACGACTTGTCCGCTTCGCATATACAAGGCAGCTCGGCCTGGGCAGCTGCGCGACAGTGTTGGTGGCATTCTGAAGGTCTCTCACTAAGAGAGTCAAGCCAGTCCTGGAGCCTGCTTCGAGCAAGTGAAAATTCTGCGCCTGCCAGCACCGCGTACTCGATTCTGAGATTCGAATACGCAGAGTTGGGCATTTGCAGACTTTGCTGTGATCCCACCGAAGCCACGATTCACTGCTGTTCGCATAGGATTCGCACAAATTTCCAACCTACGTCCAAGAGGGACCGTCATTCGGTCCGGGCAAACCCCCCAGGCAAACCCAACATGTTGTGCTGGGTGTTCCGTTCCGTTGCGATGCGTTGCGCTGTGATATGTTGTGTTGTATTGTGTTGTGTGTGTGTGTGTGTTTGTGTGTGTGTGTCTGTGTCTGGTCTTGCTCATGTGTGTCTTGCTGGCTATACCTTGCTCATACATCTTTTCGGTGCAGCATCTTGTGGCTCTCTCACGTTTCATGTGTGCTATATGTACAGACCACCAGTCCTCGAGATGAACCTCTGCTAAGGTCAAGCCTGATCCTGGACTACCCCACGAGAATTTTCATCTCAGATTCCGTTGGTTTGGGGGGTCCAGGCAGTTTCTCCCATGTTTAACAAGAACCCTGGGTTCAAATCCAAATCCAAAGCACTACCAACTAGAGGTTACCTGATCTTGAGCAATTTGGGGTATGTTCAAAACCAGATGTTCCCCTCAAGCCTCATGCCAGAAGGCAACAAACACGAAAGCCTTCGGTCAGATCTCTAGACCAACACCTGTTGATTCACGTGTACGTGTATATACAACAACATATATATATATATACATACAATGTATATATATATATATACAGACATAGATATAGACATAGATATTCCCAGGAATCCCCTTGGAACGGGCCTTCATCAGGTAAATTGCTAGCTCGCTAAGACTTGCGACTGATTGTTGCACTTATTGCCTATTGCTACTCAACATCAGCCACTCTCAATTGACCGTCGCGGTTTGGTGTCTCTGAGGTTTGGAGCAAACGTGTTGTTTGCGCAGACCGAATCTCACACATTGACCTACTCCGTTCTACCTTGTTTAGGGCAAGAAACAACATAAAAATCGGACAGGGTCGAAAGACCATCCATTCCAGACCCGTCCGGAGTCCAAACTTTGCGCCGCACGAGAGCTCGTCCACTTGCAGCACCAGGTCGTCTGCTGCTCTCGGTGAGCTGTCCCGCCTGCTTAACCCGAGCGCGCGAATCGAGCGAGTATCGGGAACGTGGGGAAGCTCCTGGCTCGGAAGGGATATAAAAAGCAAAATAGAAAGGGAAGAGAAAAGGGAAATCAAAAGCAGGACCAAATGAAAACCAGTTTGAAAGGCAAACTGAAAGTAGAAGAAGAAAAAAAGCGCGAAACCAAAAGAGACACCGAAAGGAAACCCGTTGAAAGGGACACCAATTGCACTTTGAGGGTTCCCTCATTCCCCCCTGAGTCACAAGCAAAGCCCGGTGAAGAGTCACCCCATCACCAACGCCTTGGAGTCACAATCAACACCTGGGGGACGTACTGGGATCTGCCCCCCCTAAACTTCAACTTCCCGGGTGTTGCGCGGCTGGCTGGCGCCTTGAAAGATGTGCTCTTGAGAATCATGTAGCTGAAAAGAGTCGGAGGGCACCCAACGTTGTGAAACCTAAAGGTTCTCTGAAAGTACGCTGCCGTCCACGCCATTTGGCTGAATCGTGTTGAAACAATTCAAAGTCCAACGTGGTGCGATACAGTTTGGCATCTCAACCAATGTCCGACGAAACTTCCAACCTGAAACAGACTCACACATCGCAGAGACCATGGCCCTCTCTACCGGGCCAAGCGAAAAAGGCAAGCTAGGTCTTGCAGGTCCCCAAGAGTCCGCAAGTGACCCGGTCTTGTGCCAGCAACTATGGAGTAGAAACCCTTTGGCGCAAGGATGAGGGCGGGGGGGAGTCAAAAAATGGGCTCCTTCTCCCCCTTGAAATGCGGCACCTTGCCTTGGCACCAGGTCTTGCAAGAAGGACCATCTCCCCCCCCCTCCTCCCCCCCTGCAAGTTTGGGCAAATCTTGATTGGGTCTGAGGACCTGTTGGCAGTCTAACTTGCACTTAGCTTGCCCATCTTGCTTGAACAAGCACTCCTTATATGTCCCTCTTATGCATTACCCTGCCAAAACACTTACAAACGTGCTCAAAATAGTTGTGTGAAAGCCAAAAAGGAACATGTGTGCCATGGTCAAACTCCATTTGTCGTGATCATGGCTACCTTTCGGAGCAGGAACACTTGCAATGGTTGTTTAGATTCCTTATCAAAGCGCCAGAAACAATCCTACTAAGCTCAAATAAAATGGGTTTGGACAATCACAAACAGTAAATCTCCTTCCCCTATCTGAGGGCTTGCTGCTCTGACCAGTTCAAGCATGTGTTTCACATTGGCATAACCAAGCAGGTAATGCGAAGCACAAGTTGGCCTACGCAGACGGTCCAGCAGCAAAGCCATTCAATTCATGGTTGCGGAAAATCACATCTTTCTGAGACCAAAATAGTCAATCCCCATGACCACTTGATCACTTCAAAAAGGGCTCCCTTGGGTATATATGGCCATGGGTCAAAATCCCGTACCCCCAGTGAACATCCCAATCCCCACTAAAATAGACTAAAAAGGGTGGTGCACCCACCCCAAAATGGTACCATTGGTTTTGACCCACAGCCATATCACAGAAGGTGGGTGCCAAAACCCGCATGCCCACAGATCTGCTCCAATTTCAAGGAGGCATTCAATGTGTCATGGAAGCTCATAGACTGTCTCCTCTCCATCCCACAAAAAAGGTGAACCCCTTTGCAGAGCTCGTTATGTCTCCGCTTCAAACATCAACACCGGCAAAGAAAAGGTGATATCTCAAACCACCTAAAGAGGGAATCTAAGGGTGCGGTGTCCCTTTTGCGGCGGCAATCCTTACCTTGTCACTCGAAACCACCCCCTATTCATGAGTTCGGGGTCGGGAAAAGGGCACCCTGTTTCGGGCACTTGATTGGGAAAGCGCTCAACAACAAATACAATCAAGGCACAGTATTTACTGGGCTCCTTTTCGAAAGCCCCAGAACCAGTTTTTGTTGACTCTCTACTGATGTCTTGGTTGGGTCCAAAAAGCGTTGGGCTCAAAATAACTGGGTCATATGGGTAATGTGCTTCTTTGTGTGTCCAAAAAAAAAAAACGGGTCCCCCGCCCCACATCCCCCGCCGCCCCCGCCCCCCCCTTGGCCGAAACATGTCCCTTCCATAGGTGGCCTTTTGGAAAAATAAATGGCCCTGGTAAATGGAAGACACCCCACCTAAACCAGTGCCATTTATTTTTAATTAAACGAACCTAAAAAGGACACCTATGGTCCCTTCGTCGTGCCTTACGTTGGGCGGCAGCGGCGGCGGCGCCAGCTGCGCCAGCTGCGTGCGCTGCATTTCCGCGGGGGGCGGGCGCGAGGGCGGCGACGGCAGCCCGGCGGTGGCGGGCCTGGGCCGGTCTTGTCAAACCAAGCCAGTTGGGTCGGTCTCTTTGTTCCGAGCACCCGACTTGGACTCGAATGGGAACTAACAAACTGATTCTAGGATCCGCCCATCATTGTCCCTGCCGAAACCCGCTTGTCAGAACACGTCTTTAGGTCGTCCAACTCTTCGAATACGTCAACCCCACACTCCAAAAGTCGAGCCTAACAAGTCCCAAGGAGTCTGGGAACCGCCCAGTATGGACTCCACCGGGTCCCAGGTCCCATCACCCGGTTCCCATGGGAAGGCTACTGCCTGAGCCCACTAGACCAGTCCCAAGAAGCACAACATCCAGCCTGGGGGAGCGGATCTAGACATGGTCTTCGGAAAACCATGGAAGGCAGTGCTAGAATCAGGTCCAAAGGTGTGGGAAAAAAACCATCCAGGGCACTGCTTGCTTGCGCGTTGGACACTCATGTAACCAACCGAAGGGATGGTCGCAAAATCTCATTTCGCGCCACCCGTTCAGAAACCATAGAATGGTCTGATTCCCCAACCTTGAAGAGCAACAACCTTCGGTTGGCAACTGAGACGGCTTGCTTCCATGGCTATCGGATGAGGATCTTAACGGAAGTGCACGGAAGCTATGGTAGCGCGTTTGCCCGGCTTTCGGGGTGCATGTGTTGCAAAAATGGACAGCAGCCTTTCTGAAGTTGGAAACTCTGACAGGGGTCACTGATTCTCCCCACACCAAAAGCTGATCCAGTTACCACTTTTCCAAACTCCCTCTAAAGGGAAATGGAGGAAACCCTGGTTCTCTCGCCATCTTGCTGTAAGCTTGCTTGGACATTGCTTGGTTGACGTTGGAAAGGGAGCAACAAAAAAACAGCAGCTCAGCGGGGAGTTCCCACTAAACCACAACACGCAAAGATGTAAAATGTGCCCCAACAACAACCATGATCGTTTCAAGGCTTTCCCCTTGGCTTCCCCTTGCAGCCAAGCCAAAAACGGAGCCTCCGGAGCCTCCGGAAACCGCCCGCCTCTCGCTGGCGCCCGCGGCGCGGCGCAGGTCCGGCATGCCGGCAGTCCCAGGCAGGGCCGGCGGCACCAGCGGCAGATCTGGCGGTGGTCAAAACCAATGGGATCGATCCCATGTTCTTCCGTTTGCTTAAGCCCCCTGGGAAAAAATGAAAACATATGTCCAGTAGTGATAGATTCCCTAAAAAAAAACAAAAAAAAACAGGGCAACATAAAAGATATTCTTAAACAAATGGAAGTTTTGGGGAAGGTGCAGTAGAACCTATTTTAGTGGGGATGTTCACTGGGGGATGGGCTTTCGACCCATGGCCATCTGGGAAATTCCGCAGGACCGGCCCCAAAAACCCCACATTTTGGGCAATTGTCCGAGATGTTCGGCCGTTTTTCGGCCACCGCATAGTGTTGGGTTTTGGGGCCCCGCACATTTTCGAACGAAACTGATCACACCAAAAGGAAGCTCGATTATTCGGCGTTGGACCCAAAGGTGATGTTTAGGACCGGCAAATTGGGGAGTATATGAAACCCCGACCAAGTTTGGCGAAGACCTGGGGCCAAAAGAACTGGCTCGCTGGTTTCTCGTGGCTTGTGGTTCACCAATCTCAACATCCTGGCTCGCCCCTCAGCACAAGAATAGCTCAAGGTCTGTGACTCGCTTGGTGCTCCGAGTGGCTCTCGGGCCCCAGCAACCAAAGCTTGATTCGCCATTTCTGGTCCAGTTTCATCTGGCCCAAATCTACACTCCCTCAGACTAACATGGAAGCTCCCAGAAGGCCTCTGTAAATGGAACCAAGTCTTCCAAGGGTCCTGGGAGCTTCCATGTTAGTCTGGGGAAGGGCACCCTCCGGTTCAGAAGAAACCCGACTGGAGACCGCTGGAACACCATGTTCTTCTAGCCTTCTGGTGGATGTCTCCTAGGTATCTAAATCACTTCTCCCCCTTTCCCCCCTCCACCTCCCAGACTGCCCCCAAACGCAACAAAAAGAAATCGCCATCCGCCAAACCAAAACCGCAAACCCCAAACCGCCAAGCGCCTGTGGCGGGCGCGGTGCGGGGCCGGCTCTGCTCCCACTGGGAGGCCCAGTTTTGGAAGGCCTCTCCGGACGGCAGCTCTCGGATGGAGGGCCTCGGGAGACGGGTTCGCTCGGCTTCCTCCTCGTAATTAGTTTGGTCGGTGAAAATAAAAACGTGCGCGGCGGGGGAGAAAAAAAAAACCAAAAAAAAACGAAGCACCGGCAGCAAAGGAGTGGTGTGTAAAGACATGTACAGACAGGTGTAGCGCAACAATGCTATGGGTAGAATTGAGAGCTCTATTCTTGCAATGTTGTTGTCTTAAAGGGAAAACAAGAGGCCATTCCTTTTTTAAGAGCCCCCGATTTAGACGAACGAACATGGGTGTGTCTTTGAGGGAGCACTTTTTGGGTTGCTTCAACGGGAAGCAAAATGGTCATCCCAGCACCTCTCTATGTGCGGATTACTCTTGCCCGGGCGTGACAACCACACAGGACCCGCCAGACCTCCAGACTGCGAAGAAAAGAAAATATAAAGTATATAATCAGCACCCCCTTGGTGATTTGGATTGGTGGTATGGTGAGGGGCTTCAAATATTTCCTCTACAAAAGCCAGGGCTTCAAGCTTACTAAGGGCTTATTTGGGCTCCCTCCCGGACTTCCCCTCCCCTCCCTCCGCCCCAGCCCACATCCAGGAGCTCCGCCCATCTCAGCCCCAGCGGCGTCTGCGGCTCCTGCGGCTCCGGCTCCGGCGCGGTCTTGCTGCCGCGGCAAGCGCAGGCCTCGCGTAAGGGACAGCGCCCTTGAAGCGTCAGCCGTTGACAGTGGGTTCTGCCAAACAGAAAGGCTAGGTCCTCCAGTAGAGAGGTTAGAAGAAGGGTACCGTATTTTTTCTGTAGTCTATTTTAGCAGCGGAACCCTCCCCAAAAAAGGGTAAAAGGGCACTACTGGGGGACCTAGAAGGTGTTTTTGGGTGTCTTTTTCTGAGTGCACCTCAGGTTTTGGTGGTTTCACAAAGGAAACCAAGAGGCAAACCACATTTTTTGGGGGGGTCCCCAAAAAAGAGACACCCATGTGGGGCCTTGCTAGAAACTCCACGAAACAAGGTGAATACAACCAACTAAAAAAATGGCCAACCCGGGGTTTTCGCGAGTCACCAGCAAAACCTGAATTTCAAGGGGTCAGTAGTGGTAGAAAATCTGGGGTCTGTCCCACGTCAGCGCAATGGGGATAGGAACCTAAACCCTGGTTTGACCCACAGAGCATCTCACCTTGAAGGGGGAAAACACCGAACAATCTCGCAGGTTGACGAAGGGAAGCCTTCACTCGGAGGGACAAAAAACCCCACGACAAAAACTCTTTGGCCTACTTTCATGGCGCAAAGCTTCAGAAGCCCCACCGGGAACGTCCCCTAGGCTTCGCTCAAAAAGTCAATGACAGCCTTGGCAACTGACTAATAGGTTCCATTCCTGCCACGGAAAGCAGGTCCAAAAAGGGGAAAAGGCGGAAATCCGGTCATGATTCACCATCCATTCGCATCTTGATTCGGACGGTCAGCAAACTGTCGTGTCCGACCACAGGGACACGCAGAAGCAGACCAGACAAAAGAAACAAAACGTCTGCAGGGAAGGAAAGGAATGAGCGTGGAGCCACCACCTAAGTGAGGAGCCTTGATCATGGGGTAAATAACTGCGGTTCACTCGAGAGAAGAGGTTGTCTTGAAACAGGGGAACCCCCAAAATGGGTGGTGGCCCCCAAAAACTCGTCTATTTTGTAAGGCACTCTAAACATTGGTCTCATATGGTATACCACCCACCCCGCTGACCAAGGAAAATCGCATTTTGAGATGGCTTGTTTGAGCAGTGGAGCTTACAACTTGGGGATGGCAGTATATATATCCCATGTCGTCTCCAAGCCACCAAGCAAGTCCTAGCTGAGACTATCAAACAGTAGCAATCACCTTGGATTCGGAAGATGTCACGCATTTCATGGAGGAAGACTCGAAAGTATTGAACACAGAGGCAACTATGATGAGAACTTCAAATAAATCTCGAGGGCTCCAAACAGGAGATGTTCCCTTCTGATTTGGATGGGCTACTGTGGTACAAACCACGCTGCCCTGCCAAATTCTCTGCCGAGTAGCAAGGCCACAAATGGTGACAAGGCAGCACAGGGCGCCAGCAGAGCCCAGCACAATAACCTCACATGCTGCGTGTGTGTTTTCTGGAGGCTACCCCTCGGTAAAGTTGACTCCGCAAACCAAAATCGAAAAAAAAATAGTCTGCATCGTGACCGCATTCCGATTCGATTGTCCAGGCGACCCGTTTCACCAGGCAAACCGAAAAAGGCTCCTTTTTTGGGGGCTCCGACTCGCACTGAACTCTTTGGAAAAACCTTGCTTGAAAAACCCTTGTCCGTATATGTGGGTGGGTGACATAGGTTGGGAACTGCTTTTCCTTCTGTCTTCATCTTGCCACGGCCAAAGGAGTACCCTGACCTAACAGGTAATGTTGACGCCAGATCAATCAACCCCAGTGAGTTAATAGGTGTCCCTGAGTTTAGTGGGGAATTATGCTTGGAGAGGAACACCCCCTATTCATATTATGCAACCCCCAAGTGAGGTAGGTACAATGCGGGTGGGTAGTTGACAGCTTAGGTTTTCTCAGGGTTCCTTCGAGTTCCTTCGGGTTGCTCGGGATATCTTGGGGAGCACTGGGGGACCACCCCCCTCACCACATCAAGTCCGCAAGGTCAAGTCGTTGTTCTTTTAGGTTTCCTGATCTGTTTTCTCATGGCTGGATACACCGTACCCTAAAACCCGTGCTTCCCCTTGGCCGAGTTTTGCAGGTTGCTTCATGTGGGCCTGTCTCAAAATATGGTTTGAAAGGGACGCCAAAAGGGAGCCAGCCTGGAGGAATAGGTGCCTAATTTGGAGAAACACCCACTTGGTGGCTTTAAAGGGGAGACGTTCAGCTGTTTGTGATTTGCTGGAGCCTCGACCGTGCAAAGCAACAAAACAAGCACTGATACAACATGTATCAACTCTGACAGCTATCATGGCATCTAACAGCTTCCTTTACTTCTTGGAGTGTCATTTCTCGCGCCCAGCTGTGTCGCACTGTCAAACCCCAAACCCACAAAACCTGCCAACATGCCACAGGCACAAGCAGGAACTTCTTTAGCCCCTGGCCCAGTGGCTGTGTGGTTCCAGAACCCGTTGAACCGGCGGAAGCCGTGGCATTTGCGGTGCGTGTACATGTGCCTAACGTGGGAATCTTCGATGTGCGCATGCCTGTATGGGCAAAGCCTGCATGGAGATATCTTCGTCTGATAATGCCACCCTTCGGATCAATCCGGACGACCCTGCTAATGAGGGGCATCCCCGCAAAGTGTACTAGCTCACCCAATACACACAGCCCGTGATGAGGGCGCTCCAGAGTTATTTGAAGTTCGCGTGATCGTAGCAGTTGCTCTGTGTTCAATACTATTGCATCTTCCGACTCGCATGCGATTCATGCCACGCTTCGATTTTCTCGGCAAGCCCGTACTTGGTGGCTTGGAAATTTGAACTTCTGGTTCTTGTTGAGACTAAATGGGAGGACAGTCCCCTAACCTCCAAACCACCAACCCAGACCACCAATTAGGGTGGAAGTTCGGTGTGATTTCGCGAAACCCAGTTTTGTTGGTTGGTTTTTAGTGCGACACCAACCGGAACCCAGCCATTTTGGAGGTTCTCCATGTAAAGCCAATGTATAAAGTTCAGGAACTCGGGGCATGAACAAATTCTCACATTGGGTGGGTCCCCAGCCCTTGTCAGGTAAGAAGCCAAGAAAGCCACCCTGAAAACAAATATCCGGTCAAAATACAATGTCCAGTCTATGCATTTGGGAGGCACATGGGGAAAACCTAAACTTCAACCTCCACATCCAGGAGACGAGCACTAAATGTCCCATGTTCTTTATGGTACTCAAAGCCATTGATCTTCATATGGCCGTGGGTCAAAAATAGGGTAACCCCAAAATGGCTTGCCCTGGAAGGTGGAACCATGGACCAAAACCTGCGGTCCAATTCCTGGTTTGATTTTGACCCGTACCCATGTGACCATCGACCCCCCTCCCCCGCTCCCACCCCAAGTGAAAAATCAGACCCAGTTACCCCCCCCTGTTTGAGTGCTTGCCCAGAGCAACCCAGACGTAGGAGAAAGCGTTGGCACACTCCTGGCGGATCGGCAACTTGGCCAAAGGAGCGCAAAGACGACCCCAAGACCGGCGTCTCTCTTTTGACAGGGGACGGGCTGGATTTCCCCGTCAAGAGTTGCAATTTACTGCTGTGGTCCACTACAAATGCAGCTTTTGGAGGTCCGAAAATCGGAAGTTGAGGGGACCCTCTCTGAAGGGCGCCCGTGGTTTCGTGGGAACAATGGTTTTCAGGGGTCGCTGGCTTTACCCTTCAAAACTTGCAATTTGCTGGATGTGTCCGTTGAAAGTGCAACCCGTGGAAGTTCCCTTTAAAGGGACACGGTCCGGAAATTCCCGGTGCTGCCATGGCATTTGTGCTTCGATACCAGAGTTCCACCCTGCCCCTGACCATCTGATGGCATTTCGGTAAGGCGGGACAGGGTCTTGAAAGACAACCAATACAGAAGAGAACCGTTCGGATGTGGCGAATCTGTGGATCCACCCCTGTAGGATATTAAAAGAGTAGTACAAGACTACTGAAAAGGACCAACAGGGGGAAGAACAGGTGAAATCCGCGAAAAGCGCAAATCCAAACCGTTTTCCAGAGAACGTCGCGAAAATCATCCGCGAAGTATTGCTCGGGAGAAAACAGGAAGCTCTCCCCACAGCACCCAGAAAAGGTCGGAGAAAAGAAAAAAAACTAAGGGGTTCTCAGAAGGATCGGAGAAGCTTCCAAACCCAGGAAGAGAACTCAAAAGAAGAGCCCCAAGCCGGGTCCCCCGCCGCCGAAAAAAGGCCCAACGTTCCGCTCCTCTTGAATCTGCCAACCGCCAGAGCACTGCAGGAGCGCCTGGATACCGAATCGAAATCCTCGCGCTCCGAAGTGTGCGGTTCGCTCACCGAACGAGAAGCCACGCTGGTTCTACTCCCCAGGTCAACAAGGACCCTTGTTGCACTCCTGTCACAGCATGTGAATTTGAGGGGGAGACCTGGATCCTTTTTGGGCTCCACGTCACGTGTGCGTGTGTGCGTGTGTGCGTGTGTGCGTGTGTGCGTGTGTGCGTGTGTGCGTGTGTGCGTGTGTGCGTGTGTGCGTGTGTGCGTGTGTGCGTGTGTGCGTGTGTGCGTGTGTGCGTGTGTGTGTGCGTGTGTGCGTGCGTGTGTGCGTGTGTGCGTGTGTGCGTGTGTGCGTGTGTGCGTGTGTGCGTGTGTGCGTGTGTGCGTGTGTGCGTGTGTGCGTGTGTGCGTGTGTGCGTGTGTGCGTGTGTGCGTGTGTGCGTGTGTGCGTGTGTGCGTGTGCGTGTGTGCGTGTGTGCGTGTGTGCGTGTGTGCGTGTGTGTGTGTGTGTGCGTGTGTGCGTGTGCGCGCGTGCGCGCGTGTGCGCGTGCGCGTGCGTGTGCGTGTGCGTGTGCGTGTGCGTGTGCGTGTGCGTGTGCGTGTGCGTGTGCGTGTGCGTGTGCGTGTGCGTGTGCGTGTGCGTGTGCGTGTGCGTGTGCGTGTGCGTGTGTGGGTGTGTGGGTGTGTGGGTGTGTGGGTGTGTGGGTGTGTGGGTGTGTGGGTCTGTGGGTGTGTGTGTGTGTATGTTTGTGTGTGTGTGTTTGTGTGTGTGTTTGTGTGTGTGTGTGTTTGTGTGTGTGTGTGTGTGTTTGTGTGTGTGTTTGTGTGTGTGCTTGTGTGTGTGTGTGTGTGTTTGTGTGTGTGTGTGTTTGTGTGTGTTTGTGTGTGTTTGTGTGTGTTTGTGTGAAGTGTTTGTGTGTTTGTGTGTGTTTGTGTGTTTGTGTGTTTGTGTGTTTGTGTGTTTGTGTGTTTGTGTTTGTGTGGTTGTTTGTGTGTTTGTTTGTGTGTTTGATTGTGTGTTTGTTTGTGTGATTGTTTGTGTGTTTGTTTGTGTGTTTGTTTGTGTGTTTGTTTGTGTGCTTGTTTGTGTGCTTGTTTGTGTGCTTGTTTGTGAATTTGTTTGTGTGTTTGTTTGTGTGTTTGTTTGTGTGTGTGTGGTTGTTTGTGTGTTTGTTTGTGTGTGTGTTTGTGTGTGTGTTTGTGTGTGTTTGTGTGTGTGTGTTTGTGTGTTTGTGTGTGTTTGTGTGTGTGTGTTTTTGCGTGTGTTTGCGTGTGTTTGCGTGTGTTTGCGTGTGTTTGCGTGTGTTTGCGTGTGTTTGCGTGTGTTGTGTTTGCGCGTGTTTGCGCGTGTTTGCGCGTGTTTGCGCGTGTTTGCCCGTGTTTGCCCGTGTTTGCCCGTGTTTGCCCGTGTTTGCCCGTGTTTGCCCGTGTTTGCCCGTGTTTGCCCGTGTTTGCCCGTGTTTGCCCGTGTTTGCCCGTGTTTGCCCGTGTTTGCCCGTGGTTGCCCGTGTTTGCCCGTGTTTGCCCGTGTTTGCCCGTGTTTGCCCGTGTTTGCCCGTGTTTGCCCGTGTTTGCCCGTGTTTGCGTGTTTGTGTGTTTGTGTGTGTGTGTGTGTGTGTGTTTGTGTGTTTGTGTGTTTGTGTGTTTGTGTGTTTGTGTGTTTGTGTGTTTGTGTGTTTGTGTGTTTGTGTGTTTGTGTGTTTGTGTGTTTGTGTGTTTGTGTGTTTGTGTGTTTGTGTGTTTGTGTGTTTGTGTGTTTGTGTGTTTGTGTGTTTGTGTGTTTGTGTGTTTGTGTGTTTGTGTGTTTGTGTGTTTGTGTGTTTGTGTGTTTGTGTGTGTTGTGTGTTTGTGTGTTTGTGTGTTTGTGTGTTTGTGTGTTTGTGTGTTTGTGTGTTTGTGTGTTTGTGTGTTTGTGTGTTTGTGTGTTTGTGTGTTTGTGTGTTTGTGTGTTTGTGTGTTTGTGTGTTTGTGTGTTTGTGTGCGTGTGTGCTTGTGTGTTTGTGTGTTTGTGTGTTTGTGTGTGTGTGTTTGTGTGTGTCTGTGTGTGTCTGTGTGTGTTTGTGTGTGTTTGTGTGTGTGTGTGTGTGTTTGTGTGTGTGTTTGTGTGTGTTTGTGTGTCTGTGTTTGTGTGTCTGTGTTTGTGTGTTTGTGTGTTTGTGTGTTTGTGTGTTTGTGTGTTTGTGTGTTTGTGTGTTTGCGTGTTTGTGTGTTTGTGTGTTTGTGTGTTTGTGTGTTTGTGTGTTTGTGTGTTTGTGTGTTTGTGTGTTTGTGTGTTTGTGTGTTTGTGTGTGTGTGTGTTTGTGTGGTTGTTGTGTGTTTGTTTGTGTGTTTGTTTGTGTGTGTGTTTGTGTGTGTGTTTGTGTGTTTGTTTGTGTGCTTGTTTGTGTGCTTGTTTGTGTGCTTGTTTGTGTGCTTGTTTGTGTGTTTGTTTGTGTGTTTGTTTGTGTGTTTGTTTGTGTGGTTGTTTGTGTGTTTGTTTGTGTGTTTGTTTGTGTGTTTGTTTTTGTTTGTGTGTTTGTTTGTGTGTTTGATTGTGTTTGTGTTTGTGTTTGTGTTTGTGTTTGTGTTTGTGTTTGTGTTTGTGTTTGTGGTTGTGGTTGTGGTTGTGGTTGTGGTTGTGGTTGTGGTTGTGGTTGTGGTTGTGTTTGTGCTTGTGTTTGTGTTTGTGTTTGTGTTTGTGTTTGTGCTTGTGTTTGTGTTTGTGTTTGTGTTTGTGTTTGTGTTTGTGTTTGTGCTTGTGTTTGTGCTTGTGTTTGTGCTTGTGTGTGTGTGTTTGTGTTTGTGTTTGTGTTTGTGCTTGTGCTTGTGTTTGTGTTTGTGTGTGTGATTGTGTGTGTGTTTGTGTGTGTGTGTGTTTGTGTGTGTGTGTTTGTGTGTGTGTGTGTTTGTGTGTGTGTTTGTGTGTGTGGGTGTGTTTGTGTGTGTGGGTGTGTTTGTGTGTGTGTGTTTGTGTGTGTGTGTGTGTTTGTGTGTTTGTGCGTAAGTGTGTAAGTGTGTAAGTGTGTAAGTGTGTAAGTGTGTAAGTGTGTAAGTGTGTGTAAGTGTGTAAGTGTGTGTAAGTGTGTGTGTAAGTGTGTGTGTAAGTGTGTGTAAGTGTGTGTAAGTGAGTGTAAGTGTAAGTGTAAGTGTAAGTATAAGTGTAAGTGTAAGTGTAAGTGTAAGTGTAAGTGTAAGTGTAAGTGTACGTGTAAGTGTAAGTGTAAGTGTAAGTGTAAGTGTAAGTGTAAGTGTAAGTGTAAGTGTGTGTGTTTTCCCCCGTTTCTTTTTTTTCCGCAGGTGAGAACAAAATGAGCTCCTTTCGGATGCTACACACATTGTCGTCTGGAAGAAGTTTCCTGGAACCCGTGCAAAGCGTTCCTTGAACTGAGTCCGGGCTGGTTTCTTGCTGAAACCCTGAATGAAACTCCACTAACCCTATACCTACTTTAAGGCAGACTCAACTGCCAAGACGCCGTGGAGTGGTCCAGAAAAGCTCAGAAAGTGAGTTCCCCTGAAAGCAATGGGAGAAAAGGTATCCTCGAAAACACGTGTCCACATTTGGGGATTTCAGCTAAAATGAGGGCCTGACTTAGCTCTCACGGCAAACACTAGTTAAGAACCTGCGACTTGCAGGGCCCCGCTATCTTTTGGTTGGCTCAGAGGGTTTGGAGCCCTAATTGGAGCTCAAATCGCCATGCCACCAGTCCAAACTGCCCGCAAATGTCTCAAAGCAGAGGAATTCTTCGGAACGGCTCCATTCCACGCACCAGCTAGAAGTTACCCTCCCTCCATGATCAGAGCGCTTTGGACGACCTTCTTTTTGCGGGGGAGACCCCCGAAACCACTTCCATTGGCAAGTCCTGGCATGCTAAGCCCCCCAAAAACACATTCAAATATGGCAGTGGGTGAAGAGTCGGGCAACCCCGAAATGGGTTGCCCGATAAAGGAAAACATGGACTAGAATCTGCGTCCGATTCCTGTTGGATTGAAATTTCACCAATATCCATATGACTCAAAAGCCACTCGGGCTTTGATCAAGTGAATTTCGGACGAGACGAAACAAACAAAAAACTGTCTTCCCACACCTATGGCAGGTGGTGTTTGTCCCAACGGCTGAAAGCATTTTGGGGTTCGATAGGCCCAGGCTCGTTGGGGCTGGGGCAGCTTTCAAGGGGTTCAAAAGGAGGGTTCCTTTGCTGGGGATATATTGAAATATGGAGAAGAGGCAGGCAACTTCCTGCTAGCTGATGAACACATCTAGGCAGAGGCGGAGTACCGAAAGTCCCATGCGAAACCCCGATTCAACATGAAGGACCTTTCAGGAGGTAGAGGTGTTTATTTCCTAGGGCTGGCTTTCACCCCCCCCCCTCCCCGCCGAAATCTCGGCCCTCCAAACAAAAAGGCAAACTCAGAGCCGAAAGCAGGTGCAGAGCCATGCTGTAACTGGCTTGGGGTCCGAATCTCGCGGAAAAGGTCCCTGAAAAAAGCTGGAAGATGAACGAGGGTTTTTGCCTCACAATCTGAATTTGGACCTGAACCTGGTAGGGGGGTCCTTTCTCTTGAAAACGACCCCGGTACACCCACAACCACGCAAAGAAGTAAGAGGGCGACGGCACCTACTTATCGCTGGGACTTCCCCTTTGCGAACCTTCATCTACCCAAATGAGCAGCAACCAAACTCATGGAGTTTCTACCAGGATGTTTGTGGTTGTGGCGCACATGGGATTTGGTCAATATCCCGTTCAAGGCCCCCAGTTTTCAGCATGGGCAACTCTTCCCACGTGAAAACAACATCTCGAGCAAATCCATGTTTTTTTCTCGCGGGGTTCCAACCAATGGAGTCATCCTCCGCGTCTTCGGTTGATCACGAGCCGAAGGGCCGCAGGGACCCGCAGGGACCCGAGGGACCCCGCCTCCCCCCCGGCGTCGCAGGGCGCGCGGCAGGAAGTCCCGGCGCAGACAAAGGCGCCCGCGCCTGGATGCGTGGAAGGCAGTGAAGAGTTCTCAGTGCTGGGGGTTTACGCGGGCAGAACAGTATGAAAATTGGGCGATATATATGTATATATATATTATGTCTATATATGTCTATATATGCATATGTATATATATATAATGTATATTGGATAAAAATTACCTGTCTAATAACAACATGTTCCCTGATGTCTTTGGATAAACATTATATGTACAAAAACTGCCTTAAATCTGTGAGGGCAATTTGGAGGATGGCTCTCATTATGTTTTGAACTATCGAAAGGCAGAAGCCTTTCGATCGCCAGTTGCCAGCTGGGGGAAGGCAGGCTGGGGCCATGTCAACACCCGTTGGCTTGCAACCGTCGCCAAACCCGCCCCCCTTCCAGACCCTTTCAATATGTTCCTCTTTTTCATGGGAATTTGGCAAGGTCTCAGATTTCACTCTGCATTTTCTGCTGGTAATTATGTGTGTTTCTAAGTGGGGTTGTCTTTTTTGATAATACCCATTTTGGGAGTGTTTTAAAGGGAAACTAAAAGGAACACCATTTTGAGGGGTCCCTAAAAAAAGATGATACAAGTCCATACCGATAACCCATTGGGCACACTCGTGAGTGACCTGACAGAAAATGAGTCGTAATCCAAACCTGAAAGCACCCGTTGGGAAGACTACCTTCCCCCTGGAGAAGCCCCCTGTCCACTTCAATGACTGCTGGAAAGAGGCTGAGACTGGCCCTCACTCTTCTGCAAGGATTTTCCTATCTCCTTTGTGGCCGATGTCGGCTGGAAGCTGTGTCTGAGAGACCTGATTGCCAGTTAACCCGACCTTTAAAAGGGTACTGAGCACCTCTAAAGACACACACACGCAAACACAAACACAAACACAAACACAAACAGAAACACACACACACACACAAACACAAACACACAAACACACAAAGACACAAACACACAAACACGCAAAAACGCAAACACACGAACACACACACACACACAAACACAAAAACACACAAGAAAAAACACACAACCACAAACACAAACACAAACACAAACACAAACACAAACACAAACACAAACACAAACATACACACACACACACACACAAAGCCAGACACAAAGACACAGACACAAAGACACAGACACAAACACAAACACAAACACACAAACACACAAACACACAAACACACAAACACACAAACACACAAACACAAACACACAAACACACAAACACACAAACACAAACACAAACACAAACACAAACACACACACAGACACAGACACAGACACAGACACAGACACAGACACAGACACAGACACGGACACGGACACAGACACACACGGACACAACACACACGGACACGGACACGGACAAGGACACGGACACGGACACGGACACGGACACGGACACGGACACGGACACGGACACGGACACAGTCACAGTCACAGTCACAGTCACAGACACAGACACAGACACAGACACAGACACAGACACAGACACAGACGCAGACGCAGACGCAGACGCAGATGCAGACGCAGACGCAGACGCAGACGCAGACGCAGACGCAGACGCAGACGCAGACACAGACGCAGACACAGACACAGCGACCGGTGTTTGAACAGAACGGTGGTTGAAAATAATGGAAAAGGAATCAACCCCTAGATTTTTAGGATACAACCACACACCCACACACCCATCTGGGGTTTGTGTATTTTTAGGATACTGGGCTTGTTGAAAAGGCCGGGGCCTCTCTCCCTCCGCTCCGACTCCGCTCTCCGGCCGCTCCGCCTCCCACCGCCGGCAGGTTCTGCACACCGCACTCGGCGACCTCCTTGGCACACACTCGGCTGGGGGCCGGTGCTTTGGTGTGGAGGGGTGGTGTCCATTTACCTGCAACCAGGGCTTTAAAATGTCCAAATTCCAAACCACCAAGGGTTACCTGGGACGCATAGACTGTGGCTGGTTTCCTTTGGTTTCCTCCCAAAAACAAGCAGCCCCGCAAAGGATACCCTCGAACAAAAGACACGCCCATCTGTCAAGGGCAGTTTCGGGGAGACTCAAACCTGCGGTCCCCTGGTGGCTTAATTTTGACCCATACCCATATTAAAACATCTAGTGAATCTCAAAAGGACATAAGTTCAAAAGAGACCTCAGGTAGAAACGTGCCCTTTCGCTGTTCCACCCGAAAAGGGGAGGTTGCTTCACCCAACGCAGAAGCAAGTAGGGCGTAAGCCCTAAATGTTGCAAGCAGCTGGGAAACAAGCATCTTGAACATGGAAGTGGGGTGGAGGATTGACCTCTGGCTTGCAAACGTTGACTTGGTCAACGTGGGAAGGGGAGCAAAAACAAAATGGCAGCTAAGTGGGGATTTTCCACTAAACCACAATGAGCAAAAATGTAAAATGTGTCCCAACAACAAGCATGTTGAAACCACGGGCCGCGCTCTCCCCGGCTGTCCGCTCCTTGGCCACGACCTCCTGCTGTCGCGTGCCCACGTAGATGTCCACATAGTGCGCCCGCACTTGCAGCGCGTACAAAGCCGCCTCGCAGCCCACGCGTGCAAGTTGCCAAGATCAAGCCAAAACGGGGGGCCAAAAAAAAGACACATGGGATTGTGATGTTCCTTCGCTCCGCTTTTGAAGAACTGCCTCTTGAAGAACGGAATCAACAAAAGGGTTCCAAAAAGACACGGCAAGAAAGGTTCCGCCCCAAAACAGCAAACAACCTACCAAAGCAACTGGGTGCGAAATAGGGGGTCTGGAAAATCAGAATATTTGTTTGCCCACTTTTAGGTTCCTTTTGGGACAATTCTGGACGTGGCACCCACAGGGTTGTAGGTCCGCCCAAATCTCCCCGTCGGGCCCATGGAAGTGACCTCCTGAATATGATCGGGTCTTATAGTGACATCCTCCAAATACCAAACGTTGCTGAACCATCGGGTCCCCAAAGTGACTTCGAGATCAAAGGCCCAGGCTTCAGACCGGCTCACCTGGCGCCCATTCAGACCGGTACGCGACCAAACAAAATGGACGTGACTAATATGGGTATGGGTCAGAATTAAACCACAAGGGCACCGCAGGTTTTAGTCCTTGGTTCCATTTACCGATCGGGAACCAGTTTGGGTACCCATTTTTTACCCACAGCCATATGGGTTCCGTACGGATGCTAATGATTGTCCTTTACTGCAAGCTGGAACTCATGTATTGGTCCTTTTGAACGTGCCCTGTAAAGGATACGATTGTCGGATCTTTCCCCTACAACAAAAAATGAAAGGAAACATCCGCCCAACCCCACCAGTTGATTCCCGTTAGTTCCCCTTTCAAATCCAACTGGGCTTCCCAAAAAAGACCGCCATGTCCAAGCGCATGTAAGAAACCTGGCTGAACCCAAGTGAGTTCCCTCCACCGTGTCCTTACAGAACTCCTGGTAACTCCCCAGCTCCCTCTTCTAAGGCAAATTTGGATTCTTGGTTTCCCTTTAAACCATCCAAGAAAAAGGCTGCCAGCAAACAAAAACCGAACCACCCCCACCAAGAAACCTCCAAGAAACCCAAGCGGGTTCTTTTGGACTTCCCTTTCACCCAGAAACCAGCAACCTATCACCATCAACCATTGCTTCCCATAGCAAGGAACCCTCGCAAACCCTCATGAGCCCTCAGAACCCCAAGGACCCCTATGGCTCTCAACTACCCACCCCTTGCACCTAGCCCTTTATCGACCTCCCATCAACCATTCATCTCTGCTTTTTTCCCACATGTCCAAAAGCTGAACCAAGACTTGGATCCCTTATGATCCCTTTCCTTCTCGCTGAGCCTCGTCCATGTGAGTACGCTGAATTGGATCCCCCAAGCAAAGGATCTTCACGGCTTTCGCTCGTTTTACCCCCGGATCGGTGAGCTCGGCAAGGTTTGCCGTTTTCTGACTGAAATGAACAGCCTCCCTTGAAAAGGGTTTCTACATCTGGGCTGATAAAATCCAGAAGCTATCAAGAATTGGATCCCCAAGTACATTTTGCTACATCACCACTCCTTTCGCTCATTTCAACCCCCAAAAACGCCCGTTTCGCCCCGTTGCGCCTTCTCCTCGCCCAGCTCCGCCCGCAGCGCCGCCGCCACCCAGCGCTGCAGCTCCTCCAGCCCCGTGGCGTTCACCCGCGCCGTGAGGTTTGCGCCCAGCGTGTCCGCCTGCTGCCTCGACCGAGAAAACGCCACCAGGGGGTTCTGGGAAAATCCCTTCCAGCTACCCCCACCCCAAGTAATGAGAGGGGACGGATTTTGATGGCCCTGGTATGAAACTGCTTGAATCGATGTAGGAAGTCATGTATGAAATTTGTTGATCTATCGATTTGTCTCACAAGTGTGCCTGTCTGCTGGTTGATTGAACATTTGTGTGCTATCTATCTATGTTGGCATTTATTCCATTCATTTATTTATTGATTGTGCCGAATTGTTATTTGTATGTTGATTATTCATCAACATACAACTGAAACACATGAGAACATGAGAGACAGGAAAAGATTCGTCGGCAAGTGCCGCGGCACTTTGCGACTCCAAAACAAGAAGAGAGAACCAGCCCCCCTCCAAAAAAACACACTTGCAAAACATACCCCAAGTCTCCAGCAACTATACCCAAAGATACCCTAAGCATCCAAACAAAAACCGCTTCCCCCTCCTAGCCGCATCTTCCCTCCTTCCCTCCCCCCCTCCCCTCGCCGTTTTCTGCCAGCCAGGTCGCTGCGTCTCAGCTGCCAGCACCGCGCTGTAGCTGGCTTTCAGCGGCGCCAAGCGCCGAGTGCCGTTGCCGGAAGCTTCCGCTAGGGTCAGGGAGAGTTGGTAAGGCGCCAGGCGCAGAAGCTCCACCATCACTTGGGCCAAGGCCTCGGAGCAACAAAATCCGGTGGATGTTCGTTGCGCGAGATCCAAACAAAGGCACCACAGTTCAGAAATTCAACGGAATGACTTGATGACCCCCAAAAAGAAACCTGGAAAGACCACACGTGTTGGTTTCAACCATGGAAACCAAGTGGTGCGACATGGAGTTCGTCCATCCACGGTAGAGATGGGAAGCCAAAGAGGCAAGGGGTCAAATGAATCCTGGAAGTTAACAAGCTCTGGGAAAACAGTTCGAGGCAAGGGGGGCAAAAAATGAATCCTGGAAGTTGACATTACATCATTTTTGCTATGGAACCTCAGATGTGTTCCATGTCAAACATGTCCAGAAGGGTCACCTTCCTTGAGTTCCATGACCATCACTGCTAATGCTGGGAATGGAACCCTGAACTGAGGTCCGGGCCTCCGAACATGCGCTTCCATTTCTGAAGAAGCCAGTTTCAAACCACCAGGGTGTCTTTTGCCTGTGGCTTTGGGAAAAAAGGGACCTTGGACTCCGAAAAGTGGAGCGCCGTGTGTGTGACATCGAAGCTCTGCTTGACCATGGGTCATGTGACCCATCCACACGCATGCATCCCTGGATCATTTCCAGTACAGGAAGCCCGCGTGGCACCTTGAAGCCTTGAACCCCTTTTTGCTCCGCACCAGAGACGCAGGGTGCGCGCGGAAAGGGAAAGAAGTACACCCCCCATCCTGCAACTCACTTGCCTGCGAAACGCTGAGCGAGGCGATGCCTTCGACGGGCTCTGAACAACACGGTTTTTCATATCCCTTCAAACAGAACCCCCGCCCCCCCACCCCCCAAAAAAAAGAAACAGAGGGAAAACCCCCCACCCCCAAATAGAATCACACACACACAAAAAGGAGAGAAACAGTTTGACCCCGCTTGCGGGGCCTGGTGATGCCCGCCCGTGACCTTTCATCCGGAAGAGTGCGCAATCAGTTTCCAAAAGCAACAGGGAGTTCCTCTTCGTTTGCCTGTAAAACGGCAAACCTCTAAAAAGAAGGGCCTTTCCCCCACCCCCCCCCCCACCCAACAAAAAGAAGAACCTGGAATGCCTGTCACGGGAAGTTGTTGTTGGCCCTTGCCCTTCTGGTTCAATACTTTGCTGCTGGGCCAAGCATGATGAGGCAGTTACAGGTAACAGCCAAATCCTCCCCCCCCACTCCCCCATTCCCAGCAATCCGCCCCAATCCACCCCCACCTCCCTCCATGTTCCTCGAACTATCGCTCATGCATGACCCCCGCCCAACCGCCCAAGGTACTGCCAAGGCAATCTCTTTTCTGGAAAGGTGGTCGAAGCGCTCCTGTTGATCCTGACATTGGAACATTCCACATTTAGACACGAAGCCAAGGAAAGCCCCAACGATCAATCACAAAGCTCGCGCATCGCCACCAGAGACGGGGCCCCTGAACCTCACAGGAGCCGCACAAATCCCACGTGTCAAAAGGGAGTGGCGGGTGGGAAACTTTTGACTGGTGGGGCCCCTTTTCGCCAAAATGGCAGACGGGCATACATATGTTGGAGATGCCCTGCCACCATGCACTTGCTTCAAGTTCCTTCGCCATTCGATGGCTACACAACTATCACTCATGCATGACCCCCGCCCAACCGCCCAAGGTACTGCCAAGGCAATCTCTTTTCTGGAAAGGTGGTCGAAGCGCTCCTGTTGATCCTGACATTGGAACATTCCACATTTAGACACGAAGCCAAGGAAAGCCCCAACGATCAATCACAAAGCTCGCGCATCGCCACCAGAGACGGGCCCCTGAACCTCACAGGAGCCGCACAAATCCCACTCTGCTTCGGGCACCTCTTGGGCAGAATCAGGCAAATCCTCAAATTGGAACCAGATGCACCGGCGCTGCTGCTTCAGCACCATAGCAACGGCTGCACTTGGGCGTGGTAATTACCTCACACTCCTCACTTTCAAAAATGGGCCTGCACGCGCCCCGCGTGGCGATCCACCACCAGCCACACTTCGTGCCCCACATTGTGGGGTCAGGGTGCAAACACGAGCTTGAATTAACCAAGTGAACCTTTTCAACATCAACATTTACAACTGCAACCGGAATCATAGCGGCTCTCATTTCACGGCGCAATTTGCACTTTGGCATGGCCACTACAGAGTCCGAAATCAGATCCAGGCCCTGTCTCAACTGCCTCTCAGCTTCTTCCCAGGCTTCCTCCATAGTGGCAAACTTTGCTGACATCTGGGTGGGAACCTCACCCACGGCAAATGCATCCACCAGCCTCAAGCTTTCCCTAGGGGCTTCTGACATAGCCTCCTCGATATAGCACCATGTGACATTCGAAGAATGCCTTGCCATCCACTGAATACTGGCAAAATTGCAACCTTTCCGAGCTAACTCCTTGATGCCCGATCTCCTTGAAATGGCCAGTGACGTCTTTCACGCATCTATTTTCCGCCTCAGGGCAGATTTCCTTCATGATGGCCACCAGTCTCTGAGCCTCTTTCACGAGGGAGGTTTTGTCCACAGCAGCGGGGTTTTTCAGCGTCGACAAGACGCTTTACGCAGTGGAAAGGGCAAAACCAGTCGGTGAGGGCCCTGCACGTACAAGTGAGGGACCGCTTGACTCCCTTCCCTGCGCAGTCTGACTTTGAAGCACTCAGCATCAAAGAGACAGTGCGGGTTCTGAAATCCAAAGAAATAGATTCTTGGTCCAGAAACAAAGAGCACAGTTCCACTTCGCGAAGCAAGAAGCACGTCCCCAAAATAAAACAGTCGCATCCACCATTTGGCGCGTCCTCCGGGCGACTCTCTGGTCCTGGGCGCAAACCATGCTCATCAATGAGCTTGCGCCACCAATCAGGCTTCGTTTCCTCTGCTCTCTTCACCTCACCTATGGCGCCCGCCTGCAATCCTGCATTCTGTAAGGCCTGGGACCACACCAATCCCTCCCTCAAATGGCGGTCCTTGGCCTCGTACAGATAACTCATGCTGGCCCTAAAGCCAGCCTCCCGCAAAATGGCAGCATTGACCAGTAAGCTTTCGACTGTCACAGGTAACGCAGGCACCTGCCTTTGCAGGCACAACTTTCTCCAAAGGCTGAAAAGGGCATCTTTGCTTGCCGAAGTGCTGGGCGCGTAAATCATGTCTTGCTGCCCGCACGCACCTCGCCTCTGCACCGGCTATAGACAGGGCCAAGGAAGCTGAGCCTCTCTCACTCCGGATCACAGGAGCCCATGGCCCACAACGCCTCATGCGCTTTCTAACCTCCCCGCTCTCTGTCGTCACAGTCGCGACTACAGAGCCGCTAGCCCTGGAGCCTTCCGCCGGGATGATTGACCAAGCCTGATCATCCTCGTCCACGGGCATCGCATCCATCCATCTGGTTGAGGCCCGAGCAGCAGCCACTCCCGGGGGCACCTCCCTCGATGCCTCCCTTGGCAGCGGTGGCCCGGGCCGCCTACCATAACGGCTACTAGCCCAGCGTCCTCCCCACATCAGGAAGCTGCTGAAAATACCTCGAGCCCACTTGCATCTGATTCGGCCCAAATAACCTCAAGCAACTTACGCTCTCTTGTCAATTCAATATTCACAAATAGTGCCTTGGCCAAACATTTAGAGTCGGGCCCACGCACCTCACATGGCTCAACCCCAAAACTTTGACTCCTGTAGATTGACTTCCTTCTCGATGCGGTTTCTGTCCTTGGCAACAGGGCCCAAACTGAAAGGAAAAGGGGGAGAGAAGGGTTTCCCAAACAGGGTCCACAAGCCAAAGGGGGAACCAAACCACACCCCCAAACCCGCCGAAACGACGAAACAAGGGGGAGAAAGAACCCCAAAAGCAAAAGGGACCCCAAAAGAGAAACCCCAAAAGGGAAAAGAACCCAAAGGACCCCCCCCCAATCCAATCACCACGGAGCCAAACACGGAGCCAACCACAGCCACGCCAAACACGGAGCCAAACACAGCCACCAATGACTTGTCGCTCCGAGAAGCGTCCATCTCGAACATGACCTGCAGCACACGAATTCACGCTCTTTGTCAAAGACTCACAAGGAACGACACACCGCTCGCCATAAAGGGCGTTCTATTTATGGCTGGCCAGGCACTGTAAAACGAGTAGTCTCGGCTTGGGGTGATCATACGCCTAGCCTTCATAAGCAGCTTGGGCGGTTCCTGGCCCCTCTATCATGCGACTCAAAGCATCTGCTGTGCTGTTCAAAATGCCCGGCACATGATGGGCCCAGACATGAGGGAGCTGCATACTCTCAAGCTTTAAAGCTAGCTCAGCTGCCAATTGCGCCATCATAGGCGATTGGCCTCGCAGGTGCATTGCAGCCTCTAAGGCGGCACTGTTATCGCTGCGAAAAACAATCTGAGATGGGCCCTCCGGGCCACACACAAATTCATGAAATGCATGCAATGAAACAAGAAATGCAAGCAGCTCCAACTCACTCTGAAATGCTGGATCGCCGATGGTGACACCAATCATACTCACGTCTTCCTGCGAGACTGTATCATGCCAGTAGGCCACCACTTCGCCTGCCACTGAAATGAAGCCACCGAGGCCTGTAGCGCACGCATCCGTCTGGATCATGCAGGTTGAGGCGTTGGGGCGCCACCTGAAAACCTTCCTGAGCCCATGGTGTTGTGACTCCATTGTTGAAACCAAAGCTTCTAACCACCTGAGGGCATTGTCAACTTGCTTGACAAAGATCATTCCCTTGCGCGTTCTGGCGGTGGTGCGCTCCGGCTGCTTTTGTTTCACAATGGCAGCCCACAACATGGCTAACCAAGGCCTTGCCATAGGAACCGCAGAGGTAATCCATCCCAAGACACCAACTGCGTATTGAAGAAGATGCAAAGGTAGCATCCCCTTATGTGATCTGAGTTGGGACAGCACGGAGGTCAGCTTGGCTCTTTTTGACTCCATCAGCTCAACCACAAAGTCAGGGCCGTACCGATTGTCACGCAAGGCCACGCTGAAACCGATCCAAGAAACCCGCGTCCCTCTAGCGGCTTTGGGCCATGACACCTCCAGCCCCAAGGCCATCCAGAGAGCAGCAAACCGCATGAAAATCCAGCTTCTTTCCCTTGTTGTAGCACCTGCTGCAACCACAATGGGGTCGTCCACAAATGTGCACACCTCCCCCTCATTCGGCCTCATGGAAGCCTGCCCCAGCCGCATAGCAGCCGCGGCAAGACGGCCCCACAGGAGTGGGCCAGGGGCCGGCCCAAATACCACCACAGAGAAGGCAAAATATCTTGGCGCACCATTTGCAGCATTTAATCCTTTGACAATGACAAAGGGCCTCTCGTTCTGCCGCAGGCCTAACATGTTAAAGGCGTCCTTGAAATCCGCTACCATCAGCTCAGCCTGGGTGCCCTCGCAGTTGAGCCGCAACAGATTCTCCCAGGCGGCCGCAACATCAGTTATGCGAGGAAGGACGACTCTCTCCCGGACCTTCATCATCCCGTTAACACCGCTTCGGCGTGTGTCTACTACCAAGCGCACCTTCTCTCCTCCGCTTGGCTTCTGCTTGACGATGCACGCCATTTTGGTCAATCTTGCCTCCTCACCGAAGGATTTGACCACCTCAGACCAGCTGCAGAACTCTTCAGCTCTTTGCAAAGCAACCATGTCATCCAGGATGTTCTGCGCCTTCTCCCCTGCTTCTGTGAAACTAACATAGTTGCCGTGGGCGCCGTCCATGTCATCCATCATTCTTCCTTCCAGTCGAGAAGCTTCCACTGCTGCTGTGTCCTCTTCCGTGAGCGGAAAAGCACCGGAAGCGGTGATCTCATTCTTGATGCCCAGCGGGAAACCATTGGAAATCCACTCAGGCAGGTACTTGCGCTCACAGTCCTCAGCCTGCTCCAACAAAGACTGCCACAAGTGCACCTGCAAGCCCGGCCCTTCCTTGACGGAGGAGTTGAATTTGTTCACCCACCAGTCGGGAAGACCAGCCTGCACATCTCTTTCCCAGACCTCCAAGACTTCATCATCCCGCTGTTCGTCCATCACCTTGCGAATGGCGGCGCCCACGTGCCTCAAGGCTGATCGCTGAGATGCCTTTCGCGCGTGCCTGAGACCACTTCTCCTCTTCACGCAAGTCTCGTCTTGAGAAGCTCTTCGTTCTGACTTCTGCCTTCTCGAGCTGATCCACTCTGACAAGGACGTTCCCCCAGCGGCCCACACGCTTCATGCTCCTCTGATCTAACCAGACACGCCCTTCGTCGGACTTCAACCAAGTTACCAAAGCCCTTGTCCATGCCACACAAAGGCCACAAGGGTATGCACTCGTCCAGGTAGCTCCAAACCCTGCCCACCAGGCCACCTCTCAAATGGCGATGGCCCCTAACCTCAAAGAAGAGGCTCTTCACCATCTTCATCCAGGGCGCGGTGGTCAAAATACCTGTCGGCTTTGGCGTAGGTGCCCCGTAGCAACACTGATGCAGCATAATCAGCTCCGCTGACGGCAGCCTCATCAACCTCTGCATCACCTTCAGCAACCACAGAAATGAACCAAAAGGGTTTTCGATGGCAAAGGTCCTGCCCCGCAAGTGGAGGATCATACGCAAGGCAACCATCTTCTCCACCACCTTGTTTGCCTCCTCCACTTCAGGATCGCCCCATCCTTCAGGGTGTTGATGTGTTCGCATTTCCCTAGCTGCTCCGTGCTCGTCACTTCTGCGGGCCTCTGTCAGCGTGCGGCAAGGGGGCGCAAAATGTCCGTGGTCAGCTTCCCCACAAAGTCTCTCAGCCTCTGCAAAGTCCTCTTCTCCAAGGATGTTCCATTCTTCCTGATAGGCGTCAAGCCTTCCCGGCGATCCCAAGGAGATCAAACCTTCTCCTTGGTCCAGCATTGCCACTGACAAACCGCCCATGCCGGCGAAAAACTCCACGAAAACAAATTTTCTGGCCAGCTCACTCCTGCTTGACACGCCATGCTGTTCTCGGCGTTGTGCGATTGTTGAATTCACGTCATGCAACACTGGGAGTTCGGGTGACTTCCCAAGCAGTATTGGCAGCAACGGCATCGCCCGTCTGGGCATGGTTCGGCCCCCGCGGAGCCCTTTGCGAACTTGTAGCACACCTCCTCACCCTCCCTCGTGGTGATGAAGTACTGGCCAAACTTCCTGGGATGGACAAAACTCTTGCTCTTGCCCTTCCCGCTTTGGGCGCTTCCTCCTCCGCTGCCAGCAAAACTGCCCGACTGGAAATAGCCCTGGTTCCCCTTGGCGTCAACCTCATCTTTGTGGCTCTTCTCAAGCCGACGCTTTCTCGCATTTCTGGACTTGCCCTGACCGGGCTCAGCTTGCGCATTCCTCAACACCTCCTTGTCAACAGACACCGCCTCAGCCACTTCTTTTGGCATCTTCCTGCCAGCTCCTCCTCTTGCCAAAAATGTCTGGGCCGGCCGGATGACGTTCTTCGCCCAGTACTCGCCGTCCCTTGATGCATAGGTGAAAACCCCAACCCATGGCTGCTCCGGCTTGAAGGTCAAGTTCATAGGCAACCTTCCCTCCACCCTTGCCCTGGTCAAGGATCGCCCGATCCTCTCAAAATCATCTCTGCGGCACTTATCCTCAGCTTGCCAGACCAAATGCCAGCATTCCGGAAATTCTGCCTGCAGCTCCGCAATCTTGTCTGAATACTCTTCTAGCGCTGCAATGTTGACCGCAGGCAAGGGCAAATCGGTTCCGGCTGGCTTGTGCTTCAGCATCAACAGAACAGTGCGGTAAACCCTCCAGCACTTCAGCCAAGAGCTGTAGTTCGGAGGGCCAGGAACATCAACTCCTTTCCACGTCCCGTCCTCCTGCAAAAGCCAGCTGCGGGTTTTCATCTGCTTCTGCATCTCCTTGCCATAAGGGGTGAGCACACTGAAGTCAGCATAAGGGCTTTCTTCCCTCTCCACCACCTTGGCCACCATGCCTGTGACCTGCTCCTTTGTCGGGTCAGCCTCTGGCTGAGGATCTGACCCAGTGATCTCTCTGAAGTTTCTGTAGCTGCTCCAGGTCGGCTCGGTTCATAAGATCCACCTCATTGTCATCCATCTGGTCCAGGTGGCTGGAAAGCTTGACCTTCTTCTTGGGCTGACTGATTCCAGCAGCAGGCGCAGCTACGGCTGCCCCCACAGGTTGTGGGGGTGCTAGCAAGTCCAAATCCGGCAACTGGAAGGCGAGCCATCACCGCCATCTGGATCACCTCCACGGCCGTCAGTTCTTGAGGGGGTGGGTCAGCTGCCACCCCAGCCGGACGTGCAACAGGGATCCGCACGCCTTCCAGCATGCGCTTGTACACATCCATCGGTGCCATGGCAAGCACCCGCAGGTTCGGAACATTTCCAAGGTATTCTGACGCCCGATTCCACACATCTGGGTTGCACCCACTCCAATTTCGCACAGCCTCCACCGTACCCAGATTGGCCAGCTCGGCTTGCGTAGGAAGAAGGCTCAACGCCATGACACCGCCTCAATGGATGAAGTTTCTAAGGATGCCACCTCCAAGTTAGCAGCTCAATCAACATGGCAAGCACTGCAAACTTTTGACTGGTGGGGCCCCTTTTCGCCAAAATGGCAGACGGGCATATATACATATGTTGGAGATGCCCTGCCACCATGCACTTGCTTCAAGTTCCTTCGCCATTCGATGGCTACACAAAATCCCCACTCCCCCCTCCCGCACTCCCACCCACTCCCCCATCCCCACGCCCCCACTCCCCCATCCCCCACTCCCCCATCCCCCACTCCCCCATCCCCCACTCCCCCACTCCCCCACTCCCCCATCCCCCACTCCCCCACTCCCCCACTCCCCCATCCCCCACTCCCCCATCCCCCACTCCCCCACTCCCACCCCATCCCCCACTCCCCCACTCCCCCATCCCCCACTCCCACTCCCCCATCCCCCACTCCCCCACTCCCCCATCCCCCACTCCCACTCCCCCATCCTCCACTCCCACCCACTTCCCCATCCTCCACTCCCACCCACTTCCCCATCCCCCACTCCCACCGACCCCTCCCAACCCCACTCCCCCCCACCCCCCACCCCCCCACCCCCAAAACCCGTTCTCGGATTACATCCAAAAGGCGCGCTGGGCCCCCGCTTCCTCCAGAAAGCCCTCGCCGCTGACCTCCAGCTGCAGCTCACCAGCCACCGTGACCCGGACCTCAGACTCGCTCTCAGCTCCGCCAGGCAAGACGAGACGCCCAGCGGGGCGCATGGTCGGTCCCTTTGGGTTGCTACGCTGTGGGTTTCCTCAACAAAGCAAGGCGCGCAGAAACCAAGAAACCTGGCAATGGGCGATTTTTTACCGAGCACCATTGCTTGGCCGCGTTCCCCCTAAGACTCGTTCACCCCTAATCTTTAGAGATGTTGGGGTTCTGACCCTATGTTCAAGACCACCCCCATTTTCATACCATCCCCTTACCCCCCCCCCATCCAGCCCCCTTTGGTTTTCTTTTTGCAAACTTTGTGGCACTAAAATCATCTTCTCCAGTGACTAACGTCCAAGCGTAGAGAACCCTGACCTTTTTGCTGACCTCCATTCCATACCTCTTGATTATGAGCCCAGACCCTGCGTGGACACTTGGAGTATATTTTGCAGCCAACCCTAAACCACCCATACCCTAAATGAAGGTGGTCGCAAAAAATAGACCCGCATCCCCCCCAACCCCCTCCCCCCCCCAAACCCCAACCCCCATCCCCCCCCACCCCAACAACCCCACCTCCAAATCTGTGACGGTGCTGGTGCCCGTTGTGCTGGTCATTGTGGCCGTCACCTAAGGGAGCGAGCAACCTCACCTCTTCCATGGGAAGCTCCCCAGCTCTCAAGGGAAATTCGGATACCAGCTCCGTAACGGCCCCCTTCCAAGCCTTGGCCTAGTAAATCGTGGTCTGGAAAAAACACAAAAAATACCCATCCCCTTGGAGATCAACAAACATGCGCTTTCACCCAAGCGAAAGCTTGAAAGTGAAGGAAAGCAAGAAGTCGTCAAGGGGGCGGCAAGGCAAAGAGTTGAAAAGCGCCGCCACTTGTCTTCGCGACATCGGTTTAAGCAGGGTCTTGAAAGTTCAGCGATTTTACTGGTGTCCATTGAAACGAAGCTGCCACGGTTGGAGGTCCAAAAGGCAAAGAAAGAAAGAGCTCGTTTGACGAGGTCCTGGAAGCCCATCAAAAAGCAAAGCCAAGGGACCTGGGAGCCTCCCAAAAGAGTTGGCCATCGTCTTCTGCCAATAGACTTCAAGGTTGAAGGCCCGGAAGTCTTAAAAGCCTCAAGGATAAGCCTCTTGAAGGATAAGCCGCTTCATTCAGAGGTTTGGGGGTTGAGGCTTTCAGCGTTTTGCAGATGTTTCAGGGATAAGCCTCTTATAAAGCCTTGGCTTGGTGGTTCTTAGCAGGAATATGAGAATGATCCGACAACTATTCATGTTCTCTGGGCAAGCATGTTCTGGCATGTCACCACTGGCATGTCACGTGGCAATTGTTGCAAACCGTGTTCTTTCGGGGCAAACCAAGGTGATAGCGTGATACCATTCTTATGAATGTGTGTCACAAGGGGACCCCTTTAACCTGAGAAGGGTACCCATAGCAGAAACACCCACATAGAATACAGTCTGCCTTGTGTAGACCAACAGGAGACAGGTTCGGCTTCATCCATCCCAACTGGTTTCGTCCATCCACATGTTTCTCAAAATTGGGGAGCGCTCCAGATAGGTGGTTTCCTTTTGGTCTCCCTTTGAAACCCATCCAAAAAGGGGTTGCCCTTTTTTCCGCAGTCTATTGGAACCCTCCCCAAAAAAAGGGTCAAAGGGCACTACAGGGGGACCTAGCTAGGGTCCCTCCTCTGGCCATGTCACCACTTGGCAGCTCGGCAGAGCGCCACTCAGTCCGCCGTTAGCCAAACAGCGCAGCAACCAGCCGTCGCTTCCGCTTGGATCGGCCCAGCCGACAGCGCAGCGCACCGTGCAGACGTCGCCCGTGGCGATGCCATCGCAGTCCTTGGAAAAAGAAGCAAGAAGCTTGGCCAACGCTCAACCGCAGGACTTGCATCTTTTCTTTGTTCCTCAATTCAGTGGGCAAAGATGTAACACAATTTCCAAACGTTGAGCCAGGCCAGTGTTTTGATGCCTGGATTCCACGAAAGCGAAAAGAGTGCAGAAGTTACAGTGGAATTTACAGTTGGGGCATCTAAAATGTCTAGAAAAAAGCCCCAGAACATATCCATAGCTGTTTCTGTTGGGGTTCCATGCCTCTTTATGTGCACCCAATTGGGAACCCCTGGTGGCTTCCCTTGGCAAGCCCGATAAATCTGCTCTCGGAACCTTCCCGGAACAGGGAAGGACTACCTGGAACGCCCAAACCCGCCTCCGCAAATCCGACACTTGCCAAGACCCAGTCGCTGAAAAGATCGGCTGATAGTGTCCCAATGGAATTCCGTGGCCCTCGACCGCTTTCTCATGCTCGCAATAGCGTCGTTGCGTACCCCACGGGTTCATAAAAGGGTTCATATAGGTGCCATGCCTTTGTGGGCCATGGTCATAGGAACTCTTTCAACTGTTGTCTTAAATCCTCTATCAATGGGTCTATGACCATCCCCGCCAACGTAAGTATGGTGTTTTGACCCCTCAAGCGAACCGAAGCTCAGTGGGCTCGCAAAATGCTAAAATAAAGACACGGCTCACTTCTGGATTGGCCAAACAGAGTCCAGGAACTTGTTGTTTACCACTAAGATGGTTCAAACAACTCAGGCAGTCAGACGAACGCGTCCGAGGCTACTGAGGAGGTCCTGGTATTCCTTCACAAGTGGCATGTTGAAGAAACTTGACAAAATTGGATGTCAATCTTCGTACCGAAGAACACGGTTTTTTGCAGCCCCCTACTGGAAATGAACAGACCCCCCAAAAAAACTAAAAAGACCAACAAAGTTAGTAACAGTCCGCTGACCACAATTGTCGAGCATCTTCCAACTTCACAGCAGACCATCACCAAGTTTCTTGCGGATCTGAGAACTTCACACCAAGAGAGGCATCCCCCGCAAAAACAAGTAAGCCCAGGTAAGATCCAGACAGCAACCACCAGAACCCTTTGGGAACCCTAGCCCGCAGCAAGCGGCATGCCAAACCCCCCAGAACGCCTCCGAAAACCATCAGAACCCATCACCTAACATCACAACTGCTTCATGGAACCCCCATCAACCGCTCCATGAACCTCCAAAACCCTCCAGAAACGTCCGGAACCCTTCAAAATCCGGAACCTTCCAGAACCCTGCCTCTCAACATAGTTTGGAATCGACCCCACCAAAATGAGTGGCTGCCTCTTGGTTTCCCTTTAAACCAATTTCGCAAAAGGGTACCAAGCCTCAAAAAAAGACACGCCCAAATAAGAAGCTGCCGCCAAACTCGGCAGGCGTCATGGCTGAACTGGGCCGCTCTGGGGAAGTTGTAGAAGCAACCCCGCGGCACGCAGTTTGGAAGCCGGCCCCTGAGGTGCGGGGAATGCCCAGGTTCTGTGAGTGACCCAAATGGGATGCCCATCCGTTGTGTTCTGTGATAAAGTGGTGATTCCCATCCCCATTCCCAGCTTCTCTTTGAAGGGACGGGGGATATGGCGACCGAATTCCCTCTGCAGGCTGGGAATTGAAATAAACATCGGCGGAATCCCTAAATGCGGCGCCAAACCACCTCAGAGTCATTTGCCCAGAGCCATCTGCCCAGAGCCATCTGGGCAGAGACCCCATAGCCTTCAGCTGGTGGGGAAATAACCATAGCTGACCTTGTGGAAAAATAGATGGCCCTGTATGGGGCATCACACCCATAAACTCCTGCTGAACTCATCTGCTTCTAGCCAAACTCACCTGGACAGGACACCTATGGAAACAACCCGACATCTGTGACACTAAAGTGGAAAACCAATTCCCATTCCCACCTTCACTTTGAAGGTTGGGTTCCTTGGTATCACAGAAACCGGCAACTTACCCCCCCCCCGCTTTCCCACAACCATTTCTGCAACAACTCACCTGCACCAAGCTTTTATCCTCGACCCCCCCCCCCCCCCCTAATTTTCCACCGCGCCTTAGCACCACGGAGGTATTGGCATCCAACGGATCGACGGGCGGCAGGTCGGAGCCGGGGCCCGCACACGTCCAGCTCTGAACCCCGTCGGCCTCTGCTCGGCGCTCGCAGCTAGTGGCTGGGCGGTCCGTTTTCTGATCCCCTAGTTCCATTGGCTTAAGCCCCCTGGAAAAAATAAAAATATATCCAATAGTGATAGATTCACTTTAAAACCAACAGGGAAAAAAAACTGAGGCAAATGGAAGCCTAAAAGTGAAGAACTGGGTGAAATACGGAAACCCAACCACCTTTCGCCAACTAAAAGCTAGCAAAGCTGGAAACCCAACCACCTTTCACCAACTAAAAAAGTCAATAAAGCCAAGGGGATGGCTGGGAGCCACCAAGGTAAGTGGACGCAATCCACTTTGCGCCTGGGAAAGAAAATTGGACCCTAAAGTGGCGCAAAGCAACACACCGAAGCTGGATGTGGTCTGGCAACAACGTTTTCCCCCTTCAAATGAGTGGGCCGATTCTTTTTTGCTGCATCGGACCCCCTGAGGCGGCGATACAGTGCTAGCAAAAATGACTGAAAAGAGCCATGACCAAAACAGACCCACCGACACCGGAGTTGGTCCCCCAAAATGGCCACGATTTCTTTTGTGCCCTAAAGGTACCTGAAACTGCGGCTTGTGAGGAACACTCAACCTACTTCCCTCTCCTCGTAGCCCACATCGCAGAACACTGCGCAGCGCGACCCGTAGGCCACGGCGTCCCCACAGGTGCTGGCGATGCCAGCGGCACCCAACTTGCCGGCGTCGGAGGTGTTGCAGACCACGGGCTGGCAGCTGAGCGTCTGGTTGCTCCGCGCCGCCCCGTCGCTGTCGCACACCTGAGCCGCGCCCAAGCCACTCACCTCCTTAAGCTGGAAGTGGCAAAGGAAGGTCTCCCTTCAGTTGCCTTTTGAAGCACACCAAAACATGACAACCTGAAAAGGCGGCTTCTTTGGTTTTGCTTCTTTCGTCGGCCCCCCAAAGAGGTCGCTTTTCAAAGATCCAAAGCAAACCGAGGCACAAACACCGCCTCGCCCTCGCCGTCACCTTCATAGCCCTCGGCGCAGCGCTGCGCGCAGCGCTCGCCGGTGGAAAGGGCGCTGCAGTTGGCCTGAACATGCGGTGAGTTCAGCTTCCCCTTTGGCTACCCCTATCTGGGCTGTTCGTGTTCCGATCCCCTGCTAGAAGTGATTAACTTTTAGTGGGTTAAATGGAAATCCCCGCCAAACCCTAAAAAGCTAAAAGCTGAGGGGATGGCTGGGAGCCACCAAGATATGAGGTTTGTGGGGGCGTTCCCCCACAGTTTCCCTAACTTCTCATTCAAGTTTTCCCCCCAACCCTCCAACATGGAGATCTTCTGGGGTCGAAATCCCCCCTCCCCCAATCTTCATTGAATACCCATTGTTTAAGGTTCACCCCCAAAACCTCCCCAAACTCCAGTAACCCTTTGATTTGGATTGGATTCGAACCTTCCTTAGGCCGTTTCCCAATGGTAAGCCTATGAGACCTTACGGTTGGCATAACTAGGGTCCTTAGCCAATGCGAATACAAGCAATGTCTCACTTTTGCCCCATAAAGCCCTGTTTATTCATATGGAGGTGTCCCTGGCTTTGGTGGGGAAAAAACGCTTTTGCAGGGGCCCCCACCTCCACACTAACAAACAGAGGTTGATTCATCCGGGGTCAACACGTTCAGGACCCGGTCCCTTAAAAGGAAAATGATGCAAACCAGGACGCCCCGAAGGTCAGGTTCCTCCTGTCAATTGGTGGGAGAGTACACTCAAAAGGAAGGCCGAAGCCAGTTTTCGGGGGTCCGGCCTTAAAGACGCGGCAAAGGAGGTTGCATCAACTCAAATGCCCAGTGGATTTCCATGGGACAAAGAAAGGAATCGGCGTCCAATTGTTGCTTTTTGTTGTTGCTTGAGTTGAAAGGAACCGGAACCCTTGTCCCAAAAGGAATGAAAAAAGGAGGCAACCGCTGGGCAACAGAGGTATTCTTGTGACTGAGACTGGAGATGAGCTCCAGTCGCAGGCACTGTGGATGTTTGTTATGTACTTCCCGCGCGTCACCATGGGTCGAATTCCCGTACCCCCAGTGAGCATCCCAATCCCCACTAAAATAGGTAACCCAAAATGGGTGGTGCACCTAAAATAGGTTCCAACATGGGTGGTGAATTCACCTACCAACCAAAAATGGGGATCCCCAAACGGTTTTGACCACCACAGCCAAGGAAGCCCTCCGAGTCATCCCGCCTCGGTGCGTGCGCTGGTGGCCGGAAGCCCCGAGCTGCAGCTCGCCGGCGCGCAGAGGGGCACCGAGCCCCGCAGCTCCACGGCGGTTTCGGCCCTGGGCGCGACGGCGAAGTCGTGGAGTGGGCGGCTTGGTTGGGGTTGGGCGGGGGGGGGTTGCGGGGGGGGGGGGGGGGGGGGGGGTTGCGGGGGGGGTTGGGGGGTTTCGGGGAGGTCGTGTTTTTGGGCTTCAAAACGCATAAGTACCCGTTCTCAGAATGGTGGACGCGTAGGGTGTTTTTTTGGAAAACTCCTCAAGTTTGCTCAAACTGGGTCTGTCTCCAAATAAGGGGTCTTCTTTTGGTCAACAACCCAAAAGAGCGTCTCAAAGAATGAGAGCACACAAATACGCGGGGCGGACAAATGAACAAATCACCTCTCAAGCTGCGCATTAAACTGGGATCACAAGTGTCCTGTTGGTTTAAAAATAGACAAATGTCTTTGGTAGATTATGAAACAACCCATGTCCTGGCCAGAAATTTGCAATCTGTTCTCTACCGAAACCACCAAAAAGGACACCTAATGGTAGAAACTATCTCCAATTTCCTAGTTTGAGGCTCCAGGCATCGCATCCCCTTACCGTTTCCTCTTGGAGAAAAACCAAACATGAGCTCCCTTCAGGCAATGAAATATACGTAGACGACATTGAGCCGCCTTCTCAAAATAGGAGTCCCCTCAAAATCGGAGCCCCCTCATTTATGGGCGTTTCTCAAATGGTTGAGGTCCGTTTGGCTTCCCTCAGAAACCCAACCAGAGGGGTTCGACATGTTGAGAACCCCGCCCCCGTCCCCAACCAAGAGTGGAAGAACTGACTGAGCTTTGGTTTCCGTGTGGAAGAACTAAAACATATTCTCTCCTGCAGATTCACGTGGAACACCCATTTTTCGAGGAACCTCCTCTTGGACCCCCTTGGGTTCCATGCAAATCTCCAGAACAGTAGTTGGAGGTTGACATGACCATGAATAAGTCTTCCCTTTTGGGCCGGCGGAAGAAGCCCAATCGTAGCCAATGCCCTAAAGTCACAAAACCGAAGCCACGTTTGGTCGACAAAACGCCTCCAGCTAAAGGGTCTGATTTAGGGGCCACATGTCTAGATTCCTGAATTGTCCCACTTAGTAGGACAAATGTGTATATATATATATATATCCTCTTTTTAGTGGGGGTTTTCCCCACCCAAATGGGTCATCCCACGGAAACGAACCTGAAAATTTCCACCCCCGAGTTTCAGGAACGGCCAGGACCCAATTTAGATGATGACAATCCCTAGCTAAACAATGGTGAACATCAACCCAACCACTCTTTTCACGGTGTGCCTGAACCCCGGGGTTTTTCCTCCGAAACCACTTCCCGAGCGGCGAGGCGTTCTCCAGGCACCGCCACTCCTCCAGCGAGGAGTTCGAAGACGAGAAGTAGCCGGCCGCACAGAGCACCGCGCAGCTGCGGTTGAAGGACACCTGGCTCAGCGGGAATTTTTGGTGTGCTCCGCGGGTTTAGGGGGGTTTGAAAGGGACACCAAGGCAGAACCACGCCTTTTTTCGGGGAGAACCACCCCTGCTTCTTGTTTTTTGGTGGGTTCCCTTTTAAAACAAAAAGCCAACATCTGGGTACACCCAAACTGCTTTTTCCTGGTGGGTTCCCTTTAAAATCTCCAAAACAGGCGTAACCCCACAAACAACAAGACACACCCACCCACACACACACACACACACACACACACACACACACACATAGAAGGGCAGCGGTTCGACCGCGCGGGGAAACTGGGAGATTCAACATCGAACGCGATTTGCAGGGTGTCAGCCCCCAGGAAACCTAAAGAGCACCCCTCGGCAAGGCTTCTAATCAGGGGCGATACAAAACAAAAAAGCATGGTTTGAACGCCTATTGTTCAAACATCCTCCTTGGTGAGAAACACCACATCCTAACACAGAAATGGGGCAATCCCTACTTTTGCTTGATCGCTTTGCAGAGATTCGGTCCCTTGGCATCCCAGAAATCGGTCCCTTGGAAGGATGGGCTTGGATGTTTCTCATGGGCGCTTGCCGCTGATTCAGGGCTTTTCCACAGGGGATGCATGCATTGAGGCGAAGAGAGGTTTGAAGGTTGCATCCAACCAGAACATGGATGCACAACTCCTAGCCGCCAAAGACAATGACTTGCGGGAATGAGAAATGAAATGACCCCTATAAACCATCCCTTGTGAGGTGTCCTGCCCTCGGGAATCCCGAAAAAGGTTCATTCCGATTCTCATTCCCCACCTATCGCACATCCCTTGGTTTCCTCTGAGGGAGTTCCCAAGGTTAAGCCCCTGGGTCATTCCCCACCGATTTCGCAGTGCTCGCGGCGACTGTGGGAGCCCGAGATCCGATCCCGCCTCGCTGCAGGTGTGCGCCAGCGAGGAATTGGAGAGCTCCGGCGGCGGAGTGCACTGCAAGGCTCTGCACAAGGGGATGTTGCCTCACCAACGGGAGGGATGCACCAACTACCATGGGTGGCTCGCGCAAATCTTGGAGGGGACTGTTTTTGGGGGTGGGTTTAAAGGGAAACCAACAGGAAAGCCACCGTTTTGGGGCGCAACCCCAATTTGGACACACATCCACATGCTTTGCGAATCATTGCTCATGCCCTGAAAGGATACCTTTGCGCCAGTTGAAGAATCTTCCAAATACCAACTGATGTTTAGAGGATTCCCTTGTAAAGCAAGTGAGGATCCCTGCTCCTGGCGCGTTCTGACCCGCCCCACCACAAACCAAACCCTACCCCTCCCCAGCCCCCGAATCTCCTCCTAAGCAAAGCAGGCAAAGGAAGAACATGGAATGGGCGTTCTCATGCATTCCCAACCCAAAACAAGAAGAAAGTGGAACCCAAGGTGTCCCAGAAAAAACACATGGCTCTACTTTCTCTGATCACAAACAACTGACCTTCGAAGGCCTATTATCCGACGTTCGGCCTCTCTTTAGATCTTGGGATGTTTCCCTTGGCCAGACTTAGCTTGCTGGTGCTCAGTAGGGAATGACCCAGGTTTTGGGAATGGACCTGGGGATCCATAGGAGATGGTTTATAGGGGTCATTCCCTCATGGCCTGAGAACCAGCAAACTTTCCGTCTTCAGAGTGTCTCGGGTTGGCGGGCGAAATGGATCGACTGTACAGTGCTTAGCTGGTTCTTTCTTTTGAGACTGCAGTCTGTGAAATTGTCCAACACTTCAAGAATCTACTGGGGCAAAAAAGAAAACGAAAAACACCCTTGCCCGCACGTTCATACGAATTTCTGCTTTTTCAGTCTACCCATCCGATAGAGGCCCCATCTATAAAATATCTTTAGAGGCCCCTTGGCTCAAACAAAACTTGCTGGTGCGAGGTAGGGAATGAGACTTGGAATGAACCCAGGCTTTGGTCCCCTTAAAGGAGCCATGGTGTATGGGGGTTCATTCCATTTCACATTCCCCGCATCTCTCGCCCAAGCCAGAAAACCCCGCGCCTGTGAAGTAACCCGACTCGTCGCAGGTCAAGGTGGAGCTGTTGGGCGCGAAGCCCCCGACGCAGCGCACGTCGCAGCTCTGGGCCGTGGTCAAGTTCTCGCAGCCGCTGGAGTCCAGCGACACGTCTCTGGCCAAGGGGTTGGGGCCTCGGGCGTGACCCACCGGCGAAAGTAGAACCCGGCCTAACGTGTGGGGGGGGAGGGGGGGGGGGGGGTGTTTCCAAAGGAAGAGACCCAGAAAAAGGGGCTGGGAACGAGAGATCAACCAAATGGATAGTGTTTACCTGGATGAATACACCCATGCTGTTCATAGAAAAAAATGTTCACTCCAAGATGAGCCCCCACTAAAAAGAGGATACCATAAAAATGGATTCGGGGTATATCAATCCGGGGTTCCAATTACCCAAACCCGCCTTGCCTCTTTTCTTCCCCGAACACTACCCCGATCCCAAGAGTTTTCTCACCAAAAGAAGAACTGATGGAGGGACTGGTCCCGGCCGAAACAAAGCTCCGTGCAAAGTGCGGGTGCTTGAGGTTCCACGTGAATCTGGGAGTGGAGTGGCTATCCCAAACCAAGGGAAACTGGACGTATGATCCCTGTGATGCAAAGATACATACCCAGAGATTTGAGGATGGCACGCAGCAGGGACTCACCACATGCCAGTTCTCCAATAAACTCTCACCTATTGGGAGGAGTTGAATGCACCTCATGCGTTTGTCTTATGGATCCCGTTTTAGATGGGCCTCAGTTTCCCTTTCGTGTCTTTCAAAACAAAGCAAACAACTCCGCGCGCAGCCCAGCATCCAAGGCTCAGCCAGGTGGCTGTTCCTATTGAAACCAAATCGGAAGCTAGATTCCCTTCAGAACCAACAGGGCAAATATATATATATATATATATGATTATATATGTGCTAATCTCAGCAAATGGAAGGCCTGGTATACTTTTTAAGTCTACCTTACGTCTCAGGGCAAAAACCCACGGCACTGGGTACCCCTCCTACAGGCCAACCCACCAGAACTGTTTGGTGGGGGCCGGCATTCTCCAAGGGCGTGACAAAAGACGAGGAGCCAGGAGTGAATTGAACATTGGGGGAGTCGTGTCTAAGCCGTCCGTATCTTTTGAGACAGACCCATTTACAGATTTGTTTTACAAAACAAAAACAACGATTCTGTTTGAAAGGAAACTTCATTGGGATCGACATTGCAAACCCCCTTGTGAGGTCGCTACAATCTGCCCAGACCGCCCATTCGGCCAAGAGAAGGGGGCCCGAAAAACGCAGTGGGCTTCAACTTCCGCCTCGTGACCAAACCGGGCCATCTCCGACCCGGCCCAA